GAGATATAATTAGGAGGAAAAATAAGAGATTTTAAGAATGAAAGGTTTGCGAGAATTGATACAAATATCATGACAGATAGATAAAAAAATTTTATTAACTAGTAATATAAAGAATATTTATAAAGTACGATTCTTTTAAAATTAATTATATTTATTTTATTCAATTTTTTGTCCTCTTGAGAATTTTGTAAACATTAAGAAAAAATATTATATTAAATTTCTAATTTATAATAATTAAAGCCTTTCAAACAACCTATTATTTAAATTTTTATTCTAATTATGTTATTGAATTAATATTCTCATCATTTTTCTTCTTCTTTTCAATTTTAAACATATCTCTTGTAAATAAGAAAGAGAATAATAGAAAATTGATTTGAATTTATCTTGATAAAATTGAAATCTTTTAATTCTAAATTTGGAGGTAGGCTGAAGTATTTTTCTGATAATCTAAAAAAGTGTCAGTTCATCTCTTTTAAACAATAATACTTAAGAAAAAGTACTATATTTTTCAAGAGATATTCTTAATATAAAATTAAAGTAATCATAATTTATAATGTATTTTTTATTTGATTACCTTAGATATTAATTATTACTTAAAATGTACTTGATGCAAGAGGAATGATTTTACTGATTTGTTTGATAATCATTTAGAAAATCAAATCATTGAAAGATTTAATAAGATACAATACTCAAGAATTATATTCGGATATTTTATTGAATATTTCATAAAATTAACAGTATTTTTTAAACACAAAAAGTTAGTACAAAAAATAAAAATTAATTTAAGATTCGATATTCATTATTTACTTCTAAATGATAACTGAAACAGATTTCCTACTTCTTAACCTTTATAAACATTTAGTTTTAATGGATAATAGATGTCAGATGTTTTATCTTATTTTTTCATACTTTTATCACAACTATTTAAAGTATTTCGATGTGTATGTTGTTATTAAAATCCTTAATAATCTTCATCTATTAACTTAAATCTGTAGCTGTTTTTAGGTGATGGTTTATGTAAGTTTTTTTAAGAGTTTGAAATATCAAGTTTAAAAGTAAATTAATGACTGATATCATTAAAATTTCTAGTTTTTTAAAGAGACCTATCAAGTTATTTTTGTTAAGTCTATTGAATTGGAGTTTTTTTAGTAAATAATTTATAGATCTTCTAAAGGAATTATAAATATTTATTTTACTTATTGTATTATTTATTATGATTATTATTAGTTGGTAAAGGAGTATTGTGATTTTTTTGTTTCACTTGTCTAGAAAGGAAGTTTTGACTTAAATTTTAGGGAATCAATTGTTTTTATTTGTTTTTTGTTGTTTTTAAAATAGTATTTGTTTTATTGACCGTAAAAGTCTTAACTTAACTATCTATAAAAATCGTCGTCATTATTTATTTTAAATTAATTTTCAGTAGGTTAAAATTAATAAGAATCATCTTTTTCGTACATTAAGCTCACGAATCCATCTGAATTCATTAAAATTAAATATTATTATTATATATATATATTTAACTCATCATTACTCATTAAGAATAGATAAATTTTTAACCTATTATTATTTGAGCAACATTTCTAATTAGTTAATTTAATCAAATGTTTTAGCATTCTCTAGCAATTTTTTAATGTGTTCTTTATCTAAAGTAGCATCTTTCAAATTAATTAAATTCATGTAATCAGTCAATTCATCAGGTTTGAAAGATTCTTCAGCTTTTTATCGTTCCTAAAAGGATTTAAAATTGTAATTACTGATTGAGTAACTTTATTGAAATCAAGAATTTTTAAATTAGGTAAAATTGCAATAACTTTATATCTATAATCTTGTTATTAAGTAATGAGATTTCCATGCAAAATTAATCTTTTTAGTTTTTTACAATGTTTTAATTGATATAATTCATTGATATCAGTTAATCTATTATTCATTAAGATTAAATTTTCAATATTAGGTAAAGAATCAGAAACATCAGTCAATTTAGTGATTCTATTGTTAGATAAATTGAGTGTCTTGAGTCTATAGTTGTAATTAAAGGATACCTTTTTAATAAAGTTAAATTGCCTAGTTTTTTTATATCATTATCCCCTAAATCAATGTGATCAAAAAAATCCTACATAAAAGAATCTTGATACCAATGTAGCTCCTAAGTTTTCAATGGCTGTAATTTTCTTTGCTATTAGATTTAAATAACATATATAAATACCTCGTAGATCAAGCTATCTTTCATTTAATGGATTTATAAAGTGATGTGATCCCTATATTAATTCAGAGTTAATTTTCATTAATATATTTATATATAATATAATCATCCTGTAAATCGAAAACAAAAAAAGCAGAATGTTGATTAGATACCTCTAACATCTAATTACCAAGCATACTAACAGTCACATTAAGGACAACTGCCAAAAGATCCTTGGAATAAAAATTTCTCAACAATTTGCATTCGAATCAAAAATGAATGAGCAACATCACTTTATCTCATTGTTTATTATATATGATCCATAATAAAATTATTTTAATGATCCTAAACTTAATATAATTAAATACTCCTAATTTCCTTGAACAATTAAATGGACATTAACTACCCATACAATAATTTGATTAATGTATATCTTAAAATAATAATTCAACTTTTTCATGGCAATCTTAACATTCAATTTTTTATTCACAACCTTAAATAATAAACTTTTATATAATACACTTTCGATAATGATTCTATACGAATTCTGGATATTTTACAACCTATTTGCAATTATCATTAGGGCATTTGATACTTAAATTTTTTATTAAAACTTATGCTCTCAAACTATTTGGAGGTGATGATAATAATTCTTATTTACAAATTGGACACATCTATCTCACATCTTCTATATTTCTAATGTTATAATAACAATCTTTGCAAATTTCATGACCTTACAAACAAACTATTATTGGAAATTAATTGAATTCTCTGCAAACTGGACATATTAATTCAGATTTTTAGATTTCTTCATGAAGCTCTTTGTATGATTCAAAATTAATTAGAGTATCAAATTTTAACAATTTTGAATAATAATTGATTTTTGCAATCTCTTCAATTTCCTTTACTATACATTATCCACATGTATATGATTACTCTAAATTACAACGTTTGCATGGATTTGGTAATGTTAAATATTTTAATAGTTCTTTTAAATCTATTTATTATTTGCATGAATCAATAGGACATTTAATTTAAAATTTTGATTTCTTAGATTAAACAGTATCACTTAAAATTTATTTGAAGCAGTTTTAACATAATAGATGATTACATCCTATAAATATATGAAATATGAACTTCCTAATTAATATTATGGATCCATTGCTTCACATTAAGCACACTATTTAGTCTTTTTAATTTTATGCATTATTAATAATTAAATAAAATTAATAAAATCATTTCATGTTTTTAAAGTATGATCTTGACTCTATGTAGTTTCGGCCGATTTTTTGGATTTGGATTCTAATCTAAAATGGACACTTTGCTAAAATAAGATAATTTAACCTTAGAAACTATTTTGAATGAAGAAGACATTTTAGCTGAATTAAAAAATTCAAGTTCAGGTAAATTTGCTGATTTGTAAGAAAAAAATTTTATTATTTCTTAGCATAATTTCACATCCCATTGAATATAAAAAAATGATTGATTACATCACAAATGATATTACAGATTAATAGTCAGATAAAAATACATGCATTAAGTATTAATATATATTGAATATTTTTTAAGATATCCATTTTACATTAGTGAAATATTAGGTTCTGAAAATGAGAAATTGATTAATTTCTTATTTGAAAAGCAAGGAGATACATCCTAGGAAGAAATTTAAAATCCCCTTGATGATCATCCAACAGAGAGCTAACCTTAAGATTTTCAAAATGAGAATGAATAACTCAGAAATAAGCTCCTACCTGATCTTCTATTTCTATTAGAAAATGATTCCATTTTAATTACTTCAGCAGGATATTTTGCAAAGATTATCTCAGCAATAATCCATAAAAGAGGATTTGATGTATATTAATTAATAATTTAAGTTTTGGGATTATTTAAAATAGAATCCAGAAACAATATCAAATTTATTTAAGCACATAGGAATAAGACATATAACTGAAATCTTTGAAAAATTGATTATTCTAGATACATGTTAAGAAGAACATGATGAAAGATTATATATACAAGAGAGACAATAATTGATAGCCAGATTACTTAAATACCTTAATGGATAATCACATTCAAATACCATTATTACAAATATATGTGAAACATTTATTGAAATATATAAAAGAGCCTTGATGTCTCTTGATGGAATGATTGTTTTGAGAGAACTCTTGTTATCAGTAGAAAAACCATAATTCTTTATGAATCTAGCAATTAAAACTTAAAATAGTGCAGTTTATAATTTGCTCAATATTCAATATGAATTTAATCTAAAAATGTCATAGCTTGAAGATAAACACTACGAAATAGATTTTTCCACTTTTTATAAACCAATATTAGATGCATCAACAGCAGCTTTAACCTAATAAGATATATTTAAAGGATCTTTTTAAACTACTTATGGAGCTATAATTAAACCTTTAGGAGATTCAAAATTGTCATTATTATAATTAATTATATAATTAATTTCAAAATAAGAATTAGCAATCATTATTGAAAAAGGATAAATATTTTAATAAGTAATTAATTTAGTTATTGCTTATTCAACAAATAATTAATTACATATCCTATTTCATAAAATGGTAGAAACTATTGTAGATTCTAAAAATGATCATTTACATGAGCTCTTTTTTTAAGATACAAACTTTTTGGATTTCCTCATAAATAATAATGGTTCTGAAGAAAGAGCAAAAAAACATGGATATAAAGGTATATTGACTAAAATTACTAATTATATTAATTCTACCTATTAACAACATTAAATAATATAATCTGCAATTTTAAATAGTGAAAATAAATGGAAAAATTATATGGAACAACTAAAGCCAATCAACGATATTGAATAATCATGGTTGTTAGGAGTTAATCCAAGATTCAGAGGAGAATAAATAAATGTGGATTCTTATAGTCCTCCTCTTTAATGGCCTGAATAATTAGGTTCTGAATATAAATCCATCAATAATCCATCTTCTGAAACAAATGAAAATTAATAAGAATCAAAAGAAGATAACTCAAATCATAATTAAAATGAAGAAATTTAATAATAAGCTGATTAATTTGATTCTGAAGTAGCTTAAATAGAAAAATAAGAAGCCATGGAGGGAGATGATGTTCCTGTAAAAGAAGAAAATATTGAATAAGAAGAAGAATCATAGCCTTAAAATCATGAATTATAAATTGTTGATTCTCCAATTTATGTTGAAGCTGTTTAGATTGAATTAGAAAATGAATAAATACCTGAATAGACTTTAGAAATTAAGCAAGAATAATAAATATAATAAGAATAAGTAGAACAATTATAAGAAAAAGTAGAATAATAATAATAGTAACAATAATAATAATAAGAATAAGAATAAGAAGAAGCCTAAGAATTATAATAATAAGAGAAACTGGGTTAAGAGGAATAAATCTAAGAACCATAAAATATACTTCAAGAATAACCAAAATTGGAATAATAGTAAAATTAAGAACAAATTCAAGTTGAATAACAAGAAATCTAGTCCAAGATAGAAGCTAATGAAAGTTAAGAATAACTAAAGCAAAATAATGAACCTCCACATGAGGCCTGAAAATAATATTATTATTAATATTATATTTTTATCAAATACCTATATGTATTTCTTAGGTTCATTATTTAATTATTTACTTTTAATTAATTAAAAAAAATTCTCTTACAAACTATTTCTATTAAAAACTACTAACCAATTTTTCATATATTGTTAATTTGATTAATCTGTAATGTTTAGTTGTGGACAAAAAAATCAAAATAAGAGAAATTTTGTTCATTATTTAAAAATTAAGATAAACTCACTTTATAAAATAATATATAATCATTATTCTGTCTTTTAAGTTTTTTTCTTTTTAATCAATTTGTTCTATTTTAATTGTTTTGTTCTAAGTGCAGCAGCTTTTCTCGCTTCATTCATTATTGCTAGATATCTTTATTTTATTTCAGTTTAATATTAATTAAAAAGCCTTGACCATTCCGTTAGATTAAATCTCAGCTTAAATTTCGGTTTTATGTCAGAACACATATTTTCAGATAATTTTAATATTAAATTTGGAAAGGGTTATTAATCTTATGGTAATTGACGAATTTTATTAAAAATTATTTCTTTAAAAATTATGGAATTTTATAAATTTCTTCTTCTTGAAAGTTCTCTTTTTTATAAAATTTATTTAATTTCTTAATCATCTTTAGCCTTTAATTATTTAATTTCAGGACCATCAGCTTTAAACCTAATCATCAATTTTCCTTTGTCGATATTAATTTATTGCTTATGGGTTTCTTTATAATCATTTAATTTTATATAAAACTTAAATAATAAAATAGATAAATTACATCTCTCATTTATCTAATAAAATCTCTTCTTAATTTTAAGAGATGTTCCTTAAGAATTTCATATTTTACTACTAATTCTTCCATATAGACTTTTTCATGAACCTACATCTATATCATCATCTGATAATCAAATCTTATCTTAGCTGCGACACTAAGAGCAATATTATCAAAATATTTGGTATATGGTAGTAAGACTCTTCCTATAATTTTAGGATCGATATCTTTAATATCTTCATCAATTTATACAACAGTTTTAACTTTTTTTAATAAATTTGTTCTTAATTCTGTTGCTTTAAATACTGGCTTAAGTTTAAATTTAAGATCATTCCAGTTTTATGATTTTTATGGCATAATAAGTTTCTCGAAAAGATGTTGTTATTTTTCAATAAGATGTGGTAATTCATGTTATTTTAATTCTTCTCTATCTTTTTCTGTCATCTAGCCTTTAAAACTTTACTTTAAATATTCATCCCATTTATAATTTAAATAACTTAATTAAACTTAAAAATTATGATTATACCATTTACAAAATTTTTAAATTGTTTAAGTTTATGTTATGATTGTTTTTAAATTGATTCTAAATTTTAAAAATAATTATCTTCTTAAATTAAATAAATTGATTTTTCTTATATGAGTATATTTAGATTTAATTCTAAAATGAATTTTAAATCTAAATATAAATGATAACAAGATCTTTTTTTATCTTAAACCTAGTTTCTATTTAATTTTTTTAATGATATTTCTTTTTCTAATTGTATTTTAAATGACTCTAGCTTTCATGTGTTCTTTAAACATTAAACGTTTCAATTCTAAACCTCTTTAAGAGGTATCTTACATCATTTGATAAATATTCTCCATATTAAAATAAGTTAAAATCATTCGAAATAATTAAATATTTTATTATTGTCTGATAATTTCAAGTCTTTTTTTATATCTAAATTCTGGAGATTTTTCTTAAATTGATTATTGAATATGATGTATTTTTTCTACAAAATTATCTTATTTTTTTTATTGAACGATTCTGAGTTTCATTTCTCTTTCATATGCTTAAGCTTAAATAGTTTTAATAATATCTTCTTTATTTTAGATTGGAAATTTCTTAAGTTACATTTTTTCTGTAATTTCTTTATTAAGTTCTTCTCTTAATTTTTATTTCTTTAAAAAGATTTGTTTTCTCTTTTATGATAATGACTTTAAGTCTCTTTTAACATTATAAAGGAAATATGGATCAAATTGATCAAATTTATCATGGTATTTTTTCTTATCGCTTGAATTAAGATCATCACTCTTTCTTTTAGCAGTTTTAGATTGTAATTATAAATTTATTTGATTTTCAAATGAATTCTTTTTGTGATCATTTAATAAAGTCTTCATAAATTTAGATTCATCTTAAGACTTAACCATTAGAATGTATTAATACTTCAAAACATCATTTTCATGACTGAGCAATTAATCTATATCTGAATGTTATTCCCATGTTTGTGATGTTGGAGTAGAAGTATTACACACAGGTATATAGAGATAATTTTGATATTCTAATTATTTCAATTTAGATTATACATCATCATAATCTTAATTTACCTGAGTATGATAACTAATAATATCAGTATCTAATCTTAGAGATCTAGTATTCCATTTATTTTTTGGCGGAACTCCTTTAAGAGAATCAACTTAACTTTTCATTTTTCTCAACAAACCAGCAGTTTATTCATATTATGTATATTTGGAAGGAGATTCATTGGTATCACAAAAATATTGAATTTGAGTTTACATTTAGATTTAATCTATTTTATTTTTTTTATCTGCAAAATCTTTCATATAAGAAGCTTCTTCTCTTACTCTCTTCTATTAATATGAAGTATACTAATCAACATTTAAACTTGGTAATTTATATTTTGAATTAGCTGGAACAATAAGAACAGTAAAGGTGCTACCCATAGCAGCATCGATTACTTTAACATTTTTCAATTCTAATAATTATGGATATCTCACTTTATCTCCTAAATCTCCTAAACAATTCTTAATATTAATTCCCCATCCATATAATTATCCTGATAAATCTAATGCACCAAAATGAGAATCACCAGCCATTATTTTTATGAAAGGTTTCTATTTTTAACAAAGTTTGACTGGTGTAACTGCTTTTGATAAATCCATTTAGAATGGTCCTTTACCCCAACCATATATATCTCCTTTTACATCAAGAGCTATACTATAATTAGATCCACATGCACAAGATACTATCTTTGTTGTGAAATCTTCTATTTATTTGGGACTTAATTACTCCTTCTAATTAAAATCCATATAGCCCAACTTACCATCAGCGAATTCTCCCCAACTCCAAACTTTACCCTAATCATCCCATGCTAAAATATGCTTTTAACTACAAGCTATTCCTATGAATTATACTGTAAATTATAATTGTAATCCTAAACAATATAATTTATTTGGAGTTAAAAGATAAGTTGTTGTTCCTATACATTTCACTGCTAAGATTTCAGCTTAGTGAACAGGCAAATGACTAGATCTTCTTTCAATTTCATTTTATCTATTTATAGAAAAATTGTAAGTAATATCCAAACTGCTTATTTAATAAAATGTGTCTATCTATTCTGTGAAGCCTTATTTTTCGGAGAGTTTAAAGACTTCCCCATAATTTAATTAGTGCCAATTACCCCAAACAAATATCTTTTTATTTGTTGAGTAAGCAACAACAAAACCGGTTCCAGAATTTACTAATTTATAAGAATTTTAAGTTATTTATGAAATGTTTACAGGCATATTTACAAATGGTTGTTATAAACCTAATTAAGCAAATTAAGAATTTCCAAAACCCCAAAGTTCATATTAAGCTATCTTATAATAAAAAAATACAATCTATCAGAAATGTATTTTACTCACAACAAATTACACTTATAAAACATATCTCTTGCTCTCCTTTTTTTGATGTTTTAGTTGGATCTTTAGAATATTTATTTTAAGGGAACACTATTCTTTACAATCTGAATAATCGATAAACTAATTACTTCTGATTGTCATTCATTATTGTTTGCATTTATAAGGCAAAATCTCCTACTCCAAAATAAAGTACTAAATTACAAAATCAAAATACCATGAGTCATTTTTAAAGAAAAACTGTATTTTAATTGCAATTTTATTAATAAATTTTTGGCTTAATCAAGCAATAATAATTTTGGGTCATCAAATATATTACTATACAAATTAACCCTAATTTCAACATCAATTTAGGGTTTTTTTAATTTTATCAATTGATTTGAAATCAGCGATCAAATATTTAATTTATAATCACACTTCTCTAATAAAATTATGTAAGAATATAAATATTTAAGTTTAAAATATTGCATAAAAATAAATTTCAGGCTATCATTATGATCAATATTATGAATAACAAAAAAGTGACTCCTATTCCAACGTACATATAATTTTAAGCATCTATGAGTGTAGGTTTAAATTTAGATAATTCTTCTAATTCTCTTTTGACATTAATTTCAATTGTATCATATAAATTTTTTCCGCTCTCTTATATTTCAGGAGGATTAAAGCTATCATTTTCCTTAATAACACTGGGTGGATAAAGCTTTTAATTAGTTTATGTAATTTAATTTGAAGTGATTAAATCTCTCCTGATTTCAGATTATTCATTATCACTAGGCACACCTTCATTTCCATTTAAATTAAAGTATTTAATTTCAAGATTATCAATTTATTTCTAAATATCTGATTTTAATCTTCTTTCAAGATCATTTGGTTGAATAGTATCATAATTTGGAATTTGAATAAATGTTTTTTTCAAATCTTCTAAAGCTTCTATAACATTTTTCTTTGTTGTTGAAGGAAAAGTCATCATTAAAAAGTAGCATGCTATAAAATAAATAAATTAAATTAACATTTTTTATCATCTAAAATTCCATGCCATTCAGATCTTTAATTTCCTTGAGCATAAACTTCAAATTTAGTTGTTTCATATAATTATTTTTTTAATTAATTGATAAGAGATCCCTTAGTATCATCAAAAGATTTTGTAGTTCCTCTTTTCAAACAAAAAAGTGTTTTATTACCAGTTACATTATAGATCATAAAGCATCTATAGACAGAATGCTTTCTATATTAATCTTAAATTTTAGATTATTATGCTTGATTTCTTATTTAGCTAATTCTAAAAAATTTTAATAATAAATACTGAGGAGTGCTTTAGAGAAATTGCTGATTAGTGATTTTCTTTTATTATTATTATTATTATTATTGTTATTGTTATTGTTATTGTTATTATTGTTGTTATTGTTATTGTTATTATTATTGTTATTGTTATTGTTATTATTATTGTTATTGTTATTATTATTATTATGCACTCCTTTCTATTTCATCAGGTTATCCTTCGGGACCAATATCTTAACAATATTTTTATTCTAGTTCATCTAACTTTGCTATGAGATCGTTTTTTTTCTAATTAGGAAAAGTATTCTCATTTAGCTTTTATTTTTAATCATATTCTTACATTTTTATAATTTGGTATATAGAGAATGATCTACTATAATTCAAGTAGAGATGATCGAATAACACCTTATGATGATCCTGGAAAAGTCATCATTAAAAAATAACAGTCTTAACTTAAATGATAAATTGAATACTTGTCTTTTCATCTAATATTCCATGCCATTCACATCTTGGTCCACCAGATATATTAATTTAATTACGATAGGAATCTTGTAGATTTACTTATACATATTCTTTAACTTGTAAAATAGTTTCTGTAAATAGATTTCCACAATGACGTTTAATAGAAATTAAGACTTATTGTTTATCACAATCATAAACAGCAAAACATCGAAATACTCTCCCAACATAATCTATGCCTGATTTTGTTTACATTAATCAGAACCTAAAAATATTTTTAATATTAATTTATATTTTTAATATCTGTTATCTTGTAATTCTATTTTAAAAAAAAAATACAGCTTAACATTCAAAACAAGATGTTTATATATTTCGTTGTCTTATTAAATCTTTGAGATATTTCCAAAAATTGGAGAATATTTTACTCAAATATAAATTAGAATTATTTTTATAGAAAATTAAATCTTAATAAAAATATCTAATAATATATAATGGTTAAAATATTATGTATTTGAATTTGATTATATAATATTAAACATTTCAACTAACATATAAATCATGTTACCAAGTACCTGTATAAGATTCTTTATTTTAATATTCAAATTAACCTTTACCATGAGCCTAATCACATGAAAAGACTCCCATAAATTTAGATCCATCGGAAAAATAGAGAACTCCGATGCCATGCTTTTATCCATGTTTCACCTAACCTTTATATTATATCCAATCTTTTCTTGATAAATTCTTATGTGATTTCTCTAATTCTGATTTCGGTTTATTATAAAAAGTAACATCACCATCAGGAATATCAAATACCCACATTCCCTCAGTCACTTTTTAATTATCAGAATCATAATAAGTGCCTAATCCATGTCTTCTTCTATTACAAATTTATCCAATATAATAAAAACCATTTGAATAGTGTAATTTTCCTTAAGTCACAGCATTTTCAAAACCTATTTTTGTTTCCTAAGTTTTTACTTCTTGCCATTTAGAATCCTTAATTGAAACTTAACTCATATCTTATTGTCTTATTTTTTATTACTCTGCTTATTAACTAGATTTTATCATTGTTGGAGATGTTGCTTAACCTTATGGATGTTTAGATTAGAAAATATTTTAACTTATCAAATTTTCATAGGATGAAGGCTTATTTTAACCAGCAATAAAGAATTCTTAAGGTTAATGCTTTTCTAATAAACGATGTCTATTTAAATCCTGAAACAATTTATTTACCATTTCATCTAACTGTATAAAATCAGGTCTTTCTTATTCATCAACTTTTAACATCAATTCAATCAAATGTAGTAACTATTCATTAAAATTAGTTGTAATTAAATCATCTTAAACCTTTCTTAAAGCGAAATCGTCTATTGACCATCTCTTCCAATCATATATTTCAGGTTTTTTTGCTTAAATTAAATATATAAGCATCGTTCCAAAATTAAATACATCTGATTTATATCTATTATGTTTGAGAAACTAATTTAATAATCACATCATTACTTTATCTTTTCTTGGAATAGCCTCTATTTATGCTGGAGATAGAAATGCTGTCTTCTTCATTTCATTCAAAGCTTAAAGTTTATATATATAACTTAATACTTTACTTATCATCATAAAGAGATATGAAATCTTAAAACAAATTTTATCTTATTGGTTTTTAATACCTATCTACTAATTTGTAAACATCCACATTAAAAGGAGTTTTAACTGTTATAATATCATCTATATCAAAGGCTGATGGATATATCTTATTTGCTTATTAAAATGCAAATGCTGATACTACACAATCCAAAAGAAATAAGATTTCATCTTAATTGAATTGTTATTTCATTATAACCTTTTTGTGACGAGTTAACGGTTCTATTGGTCTATCAATTAGTAATATTATTTCAGTATAAGGAATAAAAACCTTCATTGATTCTATTATAGAAATATTATGAATTGCTAACAAATTAGGATGGTTATGATATTCATTTTTTGTTCTCCACTTCTTAACAAAGTCTTTTAACTTATTCGATGATGCAGCTGCTTTTGAATAAATTAATCCAAAATGAGGGATACTATTATGTTGAATTCTATTATTCTCTTTTTTTATTACATTTCAAGCCATTTCAAAGTCTAAAATATTTAATATTCATCTGTATAAGGCATTGGAACCTAAAATTATGACATTATTTCTCTCATTCGTAAATCTTATTGTAAATCTTATGTTGTCCCTTAGCAAGAACCCATTTTATCAATAAATTTAATATTATTTATATATATCTGTTTTTTTAAACTTTAAAGAAATAATAAATAATGTTAATGAAAAAGATTGTTGTTTTTAAATTGACGCATTTCTAGCAATTGAAAATTATTTTTTTATTTTAAATTTCATTTCAACTTTATTAAACACTATTTTAAACATTATTTTAAAATAAATTAATCAGTTATGAAATCTAAAATCTAATATTGATAACTATTTTGATGACAAATAAGTTTATAAATAAATAGAATCTATAAAAATAAAATTTTTCTTAGAATTTCGGCATTTTAATTTTAATATTCACTCATGCTCTATTGTCTAACCATTAGATTACAGATTTTTACTTCATTCTAAATATCATGGTTAATTTTTAAATACAATTACAATAAGTTTACACATATTAATACACTTTTATCCTAACATTAACGCTAGATTAGGATTAACTAATTTATCAAGACTTTCTAATATTATGAAGTAATAAATGATCCATTCATTGTTTTACATTCCTTTATACTTATAATAATGATAGTTGAAATAATTTTTGGGAAGAGTTCATTTTTACCGTGTATAGGAATTTTTTATTAAGTCTTCAGTAATTTATTAATTTTTACTTATTGATTCAACCACTCTTCAAAACTTATCGTAACAATAATCATTAGAAAATCAACAATTATACTCTAAGGTATGTAGTATAAACCCATTATAATTAGAATATTTTCTTAAAATTACTAAAAAAGCAGATATTATCCCAAAAATAAATTAGTCAGATAAAAGATGAAGGAAAATTAGAGTTTTTCTAAAACAAATAATAGAATGCATTCTGATTAATAAACACTAAAGAGGTTTAGCAACTGATAGAAATCTATCAATGAGTTTACTTTCTTCTTAACCTTTCATTTAATTTTCTTTTCGAAATTCAATCCAACAATTATATTTTTTCTAAACTTCTATATTGTTATTAATTTGTATTTATACTGAATAATTTAAATTTATTTTAATTTGTTCTAAAGTCTTTATAAAATATTGCTTTAATAATTATAATAATTCATAAAATTTTGATTTAAATCTTATAAAAATTAGATCTGTAATTATAAATTTCTAAATTAATAAAGGAAACTAAAAAAATAAATCATAAAGGCCGAAGTATAAGAAACAAGACTTTATTTATGAATTCCGCATCTCTTTAGAATAGCAGGATCTATAAAATTAATCTATATAATGAATATACAAAAAGAACAAACAGGAATAGTTAAATTAAAGTTTAAATTACTTCTACAAATATGTTTTAGTATAATCATTGAATTAATGTGATCCAATAAGAAATAAGGTTTGCATTTTCCCGAATTTGATTTTTATTACATCATATTAATTATGAAAAATTATAATTATCTCTTTAAGTATATTATTGTGGGAAATACTAGTTAGTAATTTTATAATTGATGAAGGTGTAGGAAAAAGTTGTTTACTTCTGCAATATGTTGAGTAAAAATTTAGAAGTGCTCATTAAGTTACAATGGGAGTAGAATTTGGAACTAATATTATCTAATCTAATAATCATGTTATAAAATTACATATTTGGGATACTGTAAGATGACTATCAATAATTTTAGGCTGGATAAGAATCTTTTTCATCAATGATTCGTGCTTATTATAGAAAGTATTTTTAGATTAAAGTAGTGCAATTGGATGTGTTTTAGTGTTTGATTTGACTGATAGAAAATCATTTGAGGCTTTAATTAAATGGCATAATGAAGTGCTGACTTGTACTGGTAATGATATTTAAATTATTATTGTTGGGAATAAAAATGATTTACAGAATAGGTATGCTTTTTCCATATTAATAGTTAGAGAAGTTTAAGAAAAAGAAGCATTAGCACTTGCCTAAAAATTTAATGCAAATTACATTGAAGCATCTGCTTTAAATGGATTTAATGTTGTTGAGATTTTTGAAAATCTGACATAATAAATATTAAAAGAAATATAAAATGGTGAAATTGATCCATAAAATGAGGTAAAACTTATAACTATTAAAAGATTTATGGTATAAAAATTGGAGATTTTGAAAAGAGAAGAAATTCAGACATCGTTCCTAAAAGTTAAAGATATTCAGTATAAGTGAGTTATCCTATTTAAAAACAGAGATGGGAATGTTGTTGAATAAATGATATCACAAAATTTAATTTAAATGTTTTTAATTATATTTCATAGTAAATATAATTAAAGAATGTTAAAATATTATGTAAATAGGTTAATGCTATTTAGAAATACTATTAATTGTTTTAATATGAACTAAAAATTTTTCAAAATAAATGTTTGTTGACAAATTCTTTCATAAATTTAAAATTATCCATCATCATAGCATGTTCTATACCTTTTAATTTAATTAATTAGAGTTCATTTTCTAACTTATATAAAGGTTAAATAGATTTTTCAGCAAATTCATAAGGAATTACTTCATCTTCTTCTCCATGCAAAATTTGAATTGGAGTTTTGTTATTTATTTCTGTAAATGGGAAATAAAAACCGGAGTTTCCAAGGATACCACCTAAAGATTCTCTAAATAGAATTATTAAAATAAATTACTTGTATCCCAATCCTGCCAATAAAGACATACAACAACCTTAAGAAAAACCACCTATAAAGATATTCTTTTTTGGAATAGGTTCTTAATCAATTAAACTCCAAATAAAATTTCTTGATTCTATTGCTTAATCAACTCCCCATAATTCTTTATCAGATTTAATTCCCCAAAACTATTTCCAATTTGGTATCATGATATCATACCAAGATGTCATCATTTCCCCTTGATTTTTTGTTAATGGTCTCACAGGAGCACATAGTAAAATGATCTTTGTTGTTTAATTATCAAAAGGATTTAATTCAGGATTATTAAATCCTGCTAGAAAACTATCAGGAACATCTTCTAATCCATGCATCTTTTTATGATAAGAAATACTACCCATATGAATGTATATTTATGTTCCTTTTTAGGATAAATATATATATGTTTATCAACTCTAGTGATTCCTTGAGTGAAATCTTTAGTAAGTGCAGGTATTACTTCCTTAAGAGATAACATTATAAAATAATTAATAAAAGTGAAATGGGAACTTGTTCAAATAGGCCAGAGCAAAAATAAATTTCAGAGAATTTAAGACTGAAAGCGATAATGATATTTCAAAAAATTGATATATAGAATAAGGGTTTTATTGATAAAGAAAGAACATTATAATTTTGGAAATCAAATTTCGCAAAAATAAATACAGATGCTTTATTTTCTTAAGTTGATTATAATAAAAGTGGGAACATCACAGTTTAGGAATGGCTGGCTTTTTGGGATATTGTGAAATAGTAGGGTTATTCAGAATAAGAGATATCAGATGAAGTAAATATTAAAAATAATATATAATTTCTTAGCTTGACGAGTTACAATAAGGGAAGGCTTGGGTGTAATTCTAAAAGGTGGAAGCTTTTATCAGGGCAGATACTTAAAGACACAAAACATAAATAGATTAAATAGTATAGATGGAGAAAAAAACATTGCTTAAATCAAAGTCTTTTAATTATAATTGAAATAAATAAATTTAAGATTAAAAAATGTCTTTAAAACTTAATTATATAAATATTATTCCAATATATTCTTGTAGATTCATAACTTTATGAATTTAAGAAATAAGAAATGTCTATAAAATTATTTTAATAATAAACTATTCTCTTAATAGATGTTCAATTTTTATTTTAGAGGCATAAATATAGACTTAATTAAATTATCATTAATTAATTAATTTGATGATTAGAGAGGAATATTAAATGTATATATTTCAGGAATAATCAAATAAGAAAATTTTATATAAAATTTTATAACTACATATTACTTAGAATTTTATATATGGAGTTTTTAAAATTAGATATAATTTAATACCCATATCCTCAAAAAAAATATAGATATAATGTTACTATTTATAAAATCAGTGTTAATGGACTAAGAGAAGTATATAAGTTAATTATATTATTTTATTCCATCATTTATTATTTCCGATAGATTATCCAAATTTAAATAATAAAAAATGAGGATTATTCGAAGAATTAAAGTCAGAATTCATTATAAATTCAGATCAATTGAAATTTTTATCGTACAAATTCAATAAAAAATCAATCATTTTCTTTTTATTACTATTTCCAGTTGCATATAATTGATTTCTTCTTCACTCATAGGTCTTAAATTCTCAAGTAATAACCTTAGATTTCTATTTATTTCATTTTGTTCTGATTTCACTAAGTATGAAATTATTGCTTAACTTACTAACTTTACTTTTTAAACTGGTTTATCTTTTCCCCAACTTTTTTGTAAAGTTTAAAAAATGAGTTCTTCCAATTAATTTGGATTTACTTATTTTTATATAACCAACAATAAAATCTAAACTACTTAAAATACAATGGCAGGATTAATATCACCAATTGATATAAATAGAGTAGTTATGATTTTTACAACTAGAGGATTGAAATATTCTTTGTTATTATCTAAATATTAAAATAATGTTCTAATGAATTTAATAAATATTATACTTGAAAAAATGTAAAATTTCTCTTTACATTTCGTATGAATTCAAACTTAAAAATGCATCACAAATGATATCAATTATTTTTTATAAGTAAGGTGATTCAAAAAGAACTTAATGACAACATCTTATACATTCTTTGACAAATTCAACATAAACCTTCATTAAATCTGGATCCTTCCAACATTTAAAAGATTCAATACAAAATAAGTGAATTTAATAATCATTTACTTTTGCCCATTGAACAATAAATTAATGATCAACAGACCTACCAATAGCTTAAGTTATTAATTATAACCAATGATGTTTTTAAATTGGATCTGAGTGAAATATTTGAAACGAAATTTACAGTAAATGAATAATCTATTATTAATTTGAATAGTTTGACACTTTAAGTATAATTCGAATCAATTTAAAAATTTCATCATAAATAGAAAAACCTTATTATCCTTATAAAACAAAAAGCAATGGTTCAAAAATGGATTGACACAATAAATCCATTAACTGCTTTATTTAATCATTTTCTTTGGCATTTAAATTTATCCATTAAAGTATTGTGATAACTAAAGCATTGTTATAATTAAATTGTTTTTCAGTAATCTAAGGATTTTTTAATTGTTAAAATTATTAATTTGCAAAATTAAATAACTAATATTATATTAATATTTACTTATATTAAACATTCAGTATTTCCTTATTCAAATAATCTATAACATAATTTTATTATTCCATCAATATAATTACTTACTTATGATTAATTAATGAATTCATTAAAGTGTAATTCTAAGAATTTAACACTTTCAGAAATTAATTAAATATTATTCAAAGTACTTAAGTTACAAATTTATTCAAATGCTCTAAAATAATATATTTAAAAATTAATACACTCCTGCCAATGGTCCTAATAATGGATGAAGCATATATTTAAAAAAATATTAGGTTATTTAAAGCAATATCTCATTATTTAATTATAATTGATTTGTGAATTCACTAAACATTTGTAATGATGTCTTAACAATGATATCAAAGTTTTAATGAACAGGTAATGATAAAATAAATTGAATTATTTGTTATATTATTTAATTATTGATTTGAATATCTGCTTCATCAATGATTGAACATAATGAAAATAATGCTGATTCACTTTGAATTATCTAGATTTATTAGTCAGGACTAGATATAACCAAATTAGTTAAAACAATTTGAAAATATTAAACTGATTAATTATTCATCTCAGCACTTTTATAAATACTATAAAAAATATCTTTTGAATGTTCTCTGAAATCAGAAGTTGAAATAAAATGTTATCCTCCTTCACAATACTTAACATTATAATCAGTATCTTCTTCTTCAGGCTCTCCTAATAAAAATTCCTTTGTCAATTTAATTGTTTTCATTCTACATTTATCAATCATTGTTTATAAAATATTCAAACCAAATCCTTATAATTTATTATATTCTCTCATCTAACTCCAAAATTCAAATGTTTAAAAGGCAATTTTTCTTGATGGATTACTTACAATATTACCCATCAAATTAAAAACTGCTTATTCATATTGAGAATTAAAAACTATTGAATAAAAATCACAAATAAATTTTGTTGCAAATGAAGCATATCCTTTTGATAAATTAGGACTGTATATTTTAATTATGAATTCAAGAATTAAATTTAAATTCTATAATACAGAAGAATCTATTGAATTTACATTTTATTGTCTATTGTATTATGAGAATATGACACCTTCATTTAATAAGGCAAATAATTTATCACTATATTCTGTAATATTATTTTAAATTGTCTAATGTATTAAACTTAATATTTATTGAGTTAGTTTCAAGTCTTTGAATAGATTATATGAGAATTATACCCAACATTCAATACAATAAACTGTTTGATTAAATATACTTAAATCTTAGACATAAAGTAAACTTAGAAATATTTCTGATAAAGTATTTTCTTATGAAATAAACTCTTGTTGCAATCTTAACTATTCACTTTTTTTATACCATTCTTTTCCTTGAATCGCTATTTAAGTTAAAATTTCTATTCCTATTGTCATTTTAGCTTTCATTAATTCAATCAACTCCTATAATATTCTAGCATTATTTAAAACTTTACCCTCCCCATAATGATCGATTTCCAACTATGATTACAGCAAAAGAAGAACATACTTAATTCAAAGCAACAGTTGGTAAAGGTCTTGCCAATAATTATAGAAGATATGGTTAGATAGAAATATTACATTCTTCTTTCAATCTTCGATATATCATTTAACATGCTATGAATTAATATTCTTATTAAATATTTGGTTGATCTAACAATTCTTTTGCAATAGCAAAAGCCTCATTACTTTATTATAATTTCAGAATGTATTAATTTGCCTAATGACTAATTGTTTTATCAGGATTAGCTAAGTTTTAATATTGTCGAATGAATTCTTCTGTACTAAACATTTGAGTTAATAAATAATTTAAAAATTAATCATTTATTTACACACTTTTTATCATAATATTAGTCATTACTTCTATATATATAAATTAGATATACAATGTCATTTAATATAAGTGCAAAATGCTTATTTCAAAGATATTTTTGCTAATACATAATAAATTATTTATTTTTTAATAATTATATCAAACATAATTTAAACTTATATTACATTTGTATAGTGTTTATATCTTTAATACAATTTTCAATTTGTATTTTTATTTTATAGAGTCTCTTAATTTTCTTAATTAAAATTATAAAAATATATAAAATCTCAATTTTAGAAACTATTTTGTTCAATTTCATAAGCCATGGTTTTTGATGTTATATTATTCCTATAAAATCTATATAATCAAGCAAGTTTTTCAAAAATATTTTATTATTTTATAATATTTTTCTATATAACTGATATAAAACCAATTCTAAATTATTTAGCCAGCATTTAAAAATTTTTTTAAGAAATCTAAATTATCTTTAAGCTTATAAGATTAAGAATGATTGATAATATCTAATGAAAATTACAGAATATTTATGAAAAAAGAAGCATATTTTAAATATAAAAAGATTTAATATGGGTAATTCTTGTTAAAATTAAAATGTAAATGCAACAAAAGTGTTTACTTAAGAGTAAGATAGTATTCTAATAGAAGAAAATTTAAAAGCAATTCAAAATATGAGTCCAGTTATTTAATAACATGAATATTTGCTTGAAAATTTGAATGAAGGGATAAGAGCAAGTACTATAACAGAGATTATAATAAAACCAAGAAATTAAGATTAAGTTTTAGAGATTTTAAGAGGGATAAAGAATTAAGAGACTGAGATTAGATATAATTATCAATATGAATAAGGATTAGGTACTCCTTCTTCGAAAAATGATACAAAGAGAAGCACAGGAGTAAAATGTCAGAGTGAGAAACATGTTCATTTTTAGATTCCTTAAATGTAAATAGTAAAACATGAATATTAATATCGAAAGAAATATGTAAAGAAATGAATAATTAAGTTGTATATTTATGAAATTTAATCATCTAGACATATTATATGTAAAACATTAAATACTTTTTGCATCCTAAGAAAATCAATTAAAAATTATGTGTATAGTTTTGAATATTGAGATGTGAAGAGAGATTTGAATGATTTTCATTTATTATTTATTATAAGTATTGTACGTAAGTATTAAGATTTTATTTAAATTAATTTCAAATCATGGATTAACCTCAAAAGGAAGCTCTTTGTATTCATGTGCATTATCATAGAATGGGATCAAATTTAAGATGAAGAATCGTAGCCCTAATAGCCAGAGTAAAAACATTACACAAGTAATAAACCGAAACCAAAAATGTAATCGAGAGGGGAGATAGAGAGATTAATCGATGAATGTCCTGATGAGGAAATCTTACTTAATATTGTGAAATGTCACTTTGATGCAACCATTGAAGAAGTGAAACAAGCCTTTCCAAATTTCGAATTCCTAAAAGTTGAAAATTACAATCCAGGCAGTTTTAGTTTGCTTTTTAAGAATAAGGAATAGGCCAAAGAATTCCTTTTCACAACCAAGGAAACTGTATAAACCAATTTCCTATCATCAGAAAATTAAAGACAGAGGCTTTTGGATTAAATTCCCACCTAGATTTTAGAAGTCTTCTTAAAAATTACAAGATAATCCAAATAAGTAAAATCCATTACCATCCACAGGTAATAAATTCGTAGATGCTCCACAGAAGAATAAAGATTAATATAATAGAAAAGGTATATATTATTATTTAATTTTATAGAGCATGATGGAAAACAATTTAATAGAAGTGATGGATAAAAGAACTATAAAAAGAAAGATGAAGAAGATGATGTAATCAATTTTATCATTAAAATAAGGGTTGGGAAACTGTTATGCCACATAGAATGCCTAAACAATATAAACCATACAACAGAAAACCTTAATAATAATAATAATAATAATAATAATAGGGAGTTAAGAAAAATTGAGAAAATATATATCTTTTAATAAGTATATTAATGTTATCACAAACTTAGAATATTAATTATATTAAATATAAAATTAATGGGAGTACCGAATTTCTATTCTTGGTTATCTAAAAGATATCCAATGTGCAAATACCCTTTTACTAAACATCATGGACATCAAATAGATTTTTTATATCTTGATATGAATTAAGTCATTTACAAGTGTGCAACTAATTAAACAATTTTAAAAGATTATATGATTGAAAAGAGTATTGAAGCTCTTTGGACATCCATATTAAATTATATTGATGCAATTATTGATTTGGTGGATCCTAAATTAGTAATTTATTTAACATTTGATGGTGTTGCTCCAAGAGCCAAAGCTAATTAATAAAGATAACGTAGATTTGCATCTTCTAAAGGTGATGCTAAAATTAAATTATTACTTAAACAATTAGATTTAGAATAATAAAATAAAACATTTAAAAATAATTAGATTACTGCTGGAACAGAATTTATGTATGAATTAAATGAATAGATTAAATTTTTTATACATCGTAAATTTAAAGAGGATCAAAAATATAATAATTTATAAGTCATTTTTTCAGGAAGTGATGTTCCTGGAGAAGGAGAACATAAAATACTTGAATTTATGAGAGCAATTAAAAACTAAAAAGATTTTAACCCTAATTGGACTCATTGTATTTATAGTTCTGATGCAGATTTGATTATGCTTGGATTAGGAATACATTTCAAATATATATCAATCATAAGAGAATAATGTAATATGGATTAAATTAAAACTTAAATTGCTTGTAAAAGAAGTTTTGAATAAGTTAAATTTGAATTGATTAATCTATAAATTGTTAAAGAATATATGGATTTAGAATATTAAAAAATTTAAATGAAGATACCCTTTAACATTGATAGAGTTATAGATGATTTTCTTTTACTTTTTTTTTTAATTGGTAATGATTTCTTACCTCGTGTTTATTGTTTTGATATTAAATAAGGCACAGTAGAATTAATAATTGATACATTTAAACAATTCTTAGAATAATGTGATGATTATGTTACAGATAATGGATGGATCAATTGGAAATCTATGCCCTTATTAATATAATTATTATCTGCATTTGAAATTAAAGCAATCGAAAAAAGATTGGAAGAATTGAAAAAATAAATAAAAGATACAGATCATCCAGAATATTTAGATTACAAACTTTAATGGGAAGATGAATTAAAAATACTAGATGCTTTAAACATATAATTTTCTAATAATAATTCTGTTGTAGCTCGAAAATTATTTTATGAAAATAAATGTAAAATAGATATAGATACTGAAGATGGTAAAAAAGAGTTAAATAAGATAATTGAAAAATACTTAGAAGGATTTTAATTTGTTTTGAGTTATTACTATCATGGGGTTCCTTCATGGGAATGGTATTATTGTTATTATTATTCTCCAATGTGTTTTGATATATGTGCATATTTAAGTAATAAGTAAATATAAAAAATGTAAATTATATATATTAATAAAAATTAGATAATTTGGTTAGAGTAAACCATATGATCCATATTAATAATTATTATTGATTTTACCTCCACATAATGCTTCTTTATTACCTGCTCCATTTCGAATACTTTATGATATACAATCTCCTTTGAGAACTCCCATAGATTATTATCCAAATGAATATGAAGTAGATCCATTTGGAGCAATATGGGAACATTAATTTATATGCAAAGTTCCTTTTATGAACTCAGATCTTTTAGTTTAGGAGTACTAAAAAATTGATTAAAGTTAATTGAATGAATTAGAAAAAAAAAGAAGTACTTTTGGTAATGCTTATTTATTTGTTTAAACTGAAAATAAAATCACCCCAGTATAATCTAAATTACCATAAATATTTAAAGATAAAAAGTATAGAACTCAATAAATTTAATTAAATGGAAATATTCTTCAAGCTTCTGAAATTGTAATATCAAGAATTAATTTTTTAAATTAAAAAGAATAGTTGGATAATAATTTACCTAAATTACCATCTCTATTTGTTTTGAAAATTAATAAATCATAATTATCAAATAGAAAAGATAAACACAAAAATCAAAAAACATTAAAAATTGAATTAGCATAAAAAAATATAGAATTTTTAAATAAAATAGAAGAAGCTAGTGATTTAACATTAAGATATAATTGTTATTGTGGATATCCATAAAATTATTATGGAGAATTAGCTCTAGTTATGAGTAAAACATCATTCATATTTTTGAAAAATTATTAATTGAAAAATATAGATCTACTTTAAGAATTTAGAGATGATAATCTAAATGAAGTAAAAGATGATATATATGATTTATTAAAATCTACTCTTTAAACAAGATTAGAAAATTAGGGAATATATTTAGAATAAATAAATGCAATTGCAGTAGTTTATTTTTATAAAGAAATGATTAGAAATTCAGATAGAACATTTGGTTATAATATGTTAAAAGTAAGAGAAGAAGTAATGCCATTAGAATGGATATCTAATTAGAAAATAGTAAATTTGATGGATTATTAATTATTAAATTAAGGTGATATAATAAATTAAAAAGTTATTGTTGGAAATGATGATAAAAGTTCAATAAGTGGTTCGATTGGTTATGTTTAGAAAAAGGATAATGAAGATTAATATATTATAAAGATTTTTAGATAACCAAGTAGAGTAATCGATTATGATAAAATTAAAAATTAAAAATATTTTGATGTAAATTTAGTTGCAGAAAAATTAAATTTATCTCAAGAAATAATTCATTATCTTTTAGGATAAATAAGAATTTATATTGGTGATAAGAAAAAATAAACAGATTTAATCGTTTAATCAATTGATATAGGATTTAATGCAGTGCATAAAGGAAAAAATTAATTGGTACCTGAGCTTTTAAGAATACATGAGGCTTAATTTGATTCAGAAGGATATGAAAAGTTTAAACAATTTGAGAAAGCGGAAATATCTGAAATCTTATTTAAGGATATGGAAGAATATGTTAAAAGATTGCCAGAATTAATAAATTTTTTAAAATCAATAGTATATTTATTTGAATATTATTTAAGGGCAAAGAAAAACTGAGATCTCTACAATAAATAAAAATAACAGATATTTTTAAAGATGATGTTTAGAATGGTATTAATGTAATTTTAAAACTTTATACATGGCTTATTACACTTCCTACATCATAATATAATTTATGCAATGTTGCTTCATCAACTTATTCAAGTTAAACAATAAAAGCTTTAGAGGAATTAAAATAGTCTGAAAAAGTTTAAAAGACATTATCTAGTCATAAATTTTGGTTATTAAATTTAGAAAAGTATTATGTGCCACCTTTAATGACAGATCATCCTAAAATTCATTAATTGGGAGATAGAGTAGTAGCATTAAATGTATAATATTGATTAATATTATTAATAGAATAATTATTCAAATTTTGGGGCTTATGGTATAGTAGTTGGAATAATTGATATTGGTGAAATAATGGTTGAAATAGTTTGGGATAAACCACGTTTTGGTTAAACTGATTTAGGTGGAAGATGTTCTCCTTTAAGAGGATCAGTCGTACACTTTTTAGATGTTTTTAATATTACATAATAATGGCATGAATAATTAAATACATATAGTGGTGGAGCAAAAGCTCATTAAGTATAAGGTTGGACTTATAAGTAAAAAGTATTCGTTCCTTCTTATGATAAACCAGAGAATAAGAAAAAGAAATATAAACCAAAAAAAGTTTAGACTTAATGAATTTCATTAGATATTAAAATAATGCTTTCTATTTTTTTATAATTTCTGTTTCACATTATAAAATAATTAACACTTTAAATTAATTATCTCTTAATACTTAATTATTTCTTTTATAATTATTAAATATTTTAGTGAACATAAATTCTTTTAAATTTTATGAATATTCACGGCTATTAAATGAGTGTTTATAATTCAACCAATTTATTTGCTTCAGACTATCCTTTCTTGAGTACTTTTTAAGTCTTATTCACTTATTAATTTAGATATTTAATAATCAATATTGAACATAAACTTTATACTCCAACTCCACAAAGTTATCCAAATGATGGAATTTATACTAAATTTATTTTTATATATGTACATCCAAAAAGAAATTTAAAAAAAATGTAAAATGGAAAGCACCATCCCAATTATGCTAAAGTAATTGTTGTAGTTTCTATTGCAAATGTTCTTATCATTATTGGAAGACCAATTATTAGAAGTGCCCCTACAATAATGAAAAACATCCATTCTTTCAATCCTGGTTATACAAGTCTATTAATTTTAAAATAATTAATACCCTTCTATTGGGAAAAATAAAGGAATAAAAATCACTGTCATTAATCCTATAACATGAGTAATTGTAAATAGATTTTCACTATCTACCTTCTTAAAACAATCTGCTGAATAACATAGGAATAATCCTCCGACTATTGAATATATTATTCCATTTAATTATAAGACTTCTGGGTTAGAAGCTAATTTTTAAATTGTTCCAGTTGAAAATGCAGCTCCTATAAAAATACCACAATAAGGTAGAAGAAGCTCTTTACTTAATTCTTATTTATATCGAAGGTATTCATAAACATGATTTAATGGCCAAACGCTTACAAAGAAGAAAACTGAAACAAATTTATCATTCTCTTTCAAAGAACATATCAATAATACTAATGCAATTATTAAAGAAAGAGCTTAGCAGATATATTTAATTCATACATGCATGTTTAACCTTCCAATTCAATCCATTTTCTTGAATATAAGGCAGAATATTGCTTTGACTAATCATTTTAAAATTTGCACAAAACATAAGCAATACAGATACAAACAAAAGTTCTAAATTTGGTAAGGAACTTATAATATTTGTATAATTATTTTTACTTAAAATGTTTATCTTTCATAGTCAAAATGAATGTTAGAACAGCTGAAAATATTATTACATATAAACAGCCTGCTATTTTGTAATATTTATATTCAAAGTTTTCTATAGCATCAAAAATTAATAATAAAACTCTTGATGATGAACTAGAATCTGTGTTTTCATTTTCATTATTAATCTAATTTAACTTTTAAGTTAAATCTTGATTATCCATATTTTATGAAATTAAAAAATTTAATTTTTTTAATAAAATAAAAAAAAAATTGTTATAAAGAATTTTTTATCAAATAATTAGATTAAAAATATCGTTTCGAAATCATCTTAAATCTATGATCAAATATTCATATATAAAAGAATAAAAATAGCTAATTTTAATTTTATATCAATATTTTCTTGGTTTTCTTTTTGATGTTTTTCTTCTTGATTTTTTTGGTTAAACAATTTCTACTTCTGGCTCTTCAATAACTTCCTCTTATAATTTAGTTTCAACTTTTTCTTCTATTTCTTCAAATATACCTAATTCATCAAATAATCTAAACATATTAGGTGAATCTCCTAATTGAAAATCTAATAATTAATCAATCAATCCCAATTCTATTTTATATTTATTTTCTTTTCCAATACTCTATCTTTTGTCTTATTCACTATCAGATAGATCATTATCTTAAATCTAAATATTCATTTCACTTGAATTAACATATTGATTAAATTTATTTATGTGTTTTGGACATATTTCAAAACATAAAATTTCTTTTAACATCTTTTTACTTTATCTTTTCAAAGATTTTCTTTTCATAACTTTCATATGGTAAATCTATCTTAAAGTCTAATTAGATTCTCCAAAAATTTAGTCTGGCTTAACTACAATTTAATAAGCATAAAATAATTTTAAAAGAATTGCTTTTATAATCTAATAATCTTTTTCAACACTTAATTACTACAGCTTTCTTTCAATTCTACTTAAAAAATCATCAAATCTATTTAGTAATGCCTTTAAAATAATTTTAATTTCTTGTTTTGATAAATATTATAAATGAATTATTTAATATAATACAAATTAAGCTTATGTGAAATATGTTCTACTATCAATCTTATTTAAAAAATAAGATTCATCTTAATATAACAAATAATCACTTAATTTTTAAGCACATAAATCATAGTGAACAGAATGACTGAAAACTTGATTATTTGATATTGTATAATTTTTTAATAAATTATCTAATCCAGTAAAATAAGGTTTAAGTTAAGCATAATTTTATATCATCAATTTAATTCCATTAGGAATTTATAATATCATATGTTCTGGTCGAACTTCAATACATTTTTTTAAGATTTGTTCTGCAATCTCTTCATCATTTATCAAAGCTACAATTAAATAATCTCCAAATTAAAGGGAAATAGATAACTAATTATCAAAAAGTAATTCAATCAATTTTAAAACTAAAACTCTTATAGTTTTATTTGGATGTAAAATATGCTTTTGAAATACTACATTAAAAATATCTTTAATCATATATGAAAGTTAACTTTTATCAACTATTTAACCAAATTATTATTTTTAAGCCTAACTATTTGCTTCTAAAATTGATTCATAAAAAATTTAATAAATAGCTATTATTATAGGTTCTTAAAAAGTATTTTCTTTTAAATTTTCTATTAAGAATTCACTACTTTCAAACATTAATTATGGAAGTTTTTCCCACATTTTAGATAAGGTGAAAATAATCTCCTCTTAAGCAGCCTTTTCCTTTGAAAATTCAAGTAAGCTATTATATAAAGTCTACATCGACTCTAAAAATGATTCTATATCTTTAGTGGTTTTTGTTATAAAATATTCAAAATAATCAAAAATTTAACAAAACCCTATTAAACCAAATTAAAAACTAACAGGATTCTCTTCAGCTTTAACTAATATTAATTTCATAACTATTTCAAATTTAGAATATATATTTTCATATTTCTTTGTATACCTTAAATCTAATAAAGTAGAAAGAGTGAATATAGTCTTAACAAAAGCTGTTTTAGGATGAATTTTATATATTATCTTTTCTATAAAAATAATTAAGTAATCAAGTTAATTACTTAATTTTTTTGTTAATTAAAAAGGAATTTTATCATAGATTTTTTTACTATTTGAATTTAAATCTTCAAGACAAAAAATTAAAATTTTAAATAAACCATTTAATATATTCACAAAAGGAGTATCGAGAGTATCTTCTTATTTATTCAAAAAATAAGATGTAATTTACATTAAATTATCAATTTATTTTATGAAAATTTACTATTAGGTATGGTTTTTTTAATTGATTATGATTTAAATTAATTTTAATACATTTTCTATTTAATAAATCTATTGTTTGGTTTCTTTAACATCAACACAGCCATTTGAAAGCTGAATTAATCTTAAAATAAAAAAATGTAAGATTCCTTATTTATCAATAATTTTATTATTTTCAGACAATTTATCGATTAAGCTTTATATTCGATCATAGTCTATTTTATAATTATTTGCTTCAAATGTTAATTCTAAAAGTTTATCTGCAATTTCTTAATCTCTATTTTTTGAATCTGTTGCTAAAAGTAAAAGAATTAATTAAGCAGACATTTCTCCAATTTCTCCTTTTTCTTCTAATCTTTTAGATACTTCTTCGAAAAATCTGATTTGCTCATTGGATTGTAACTCTTTAAATAAATCAATATAATCTAATGAATATCTAATTGTTTTTGTTCTAACAGAAATTTCAATATCTTGCATTCTATTAATAATTATGTCAAGACATGAAATATTACATTCTTTCCATAATTTTAACAAAGAAAGCACAATCATAGCTCTAATTTATTTAGATATATCTTATGCTCTTAATTTCATTCTGTCTAAGATATTTTAAGTATTAAATAAACTAAATTCTAGTATTATAACAATAAAATACTGAAACTTTTTGGAATTTGCATTTTTGCTACCTTAAGACAGTAATTTTCAAATTAATGAAGTACTTTTGCTCTGACTTAAATTGAGTTATCTTCAAAAAAAGCCAATAATATCAATTCAATATTTTAATATGTTTAAAATAATTACTAAAACAATAGACTCAAATAGGAGAAATACCATAAATACATATGAATGTCTTATAATCGATTATAATCGATACACATTTATTCTAGAGATTATGAAATTTCATCTAATTTTTAAATGCTAATTGACTTTGATTTTTTATTTTATTTTCCATTATAAAGAGTTTAAGAAATAAGATAATTTTCATAATAAAGTTTCATCCAATTACATTTTGTTTTACATGCATGACCATATGTAATAGTAGATAAATAAACTTAATCTTCATAATTATTGCTTAATTATAATTGAGTAAAAAAGCATCCCTTACAACATTAAATTAATATTTCTTTCTTTTCAGTTTCAATTTCTAATAATTAATACATTTTTTAATTCTTATATTAACATAAATAACAGTCTCCATCTGGTAATTATTTAATATCATAAAAGTTAAAATAAAAATTAATTTAAAATAATTTATCAGCATTTTATAAATTAATAACTAAATCTAACAATTTTAATTTTTGTTAAGACATTAATTTTTTCTCATATTATAAATAACTAATTGTATTGGCAATCTCATTTACAAAAAGAGTGATTAATTAGCTTGAACAAAATATTGAATCTATTTTTTCTGGAATTTAAGTACTAAATGAAATAAGAAAATCTCCTACAGCTGAAACTTAAGATTAAGTTACATAATTTCTTAATAAATCTCTAAAAAAATGTCTATAGGCAGCCAAAATTATATTGTATGTTTATTAAACTTACTCCAATGATGGAGAAAAAACTGAAACTATTTTAGTAATTAAATTCAATAAAGGATGCATATCATCTATTTTTTAATAAGATTTCTTTGGTTTAGCTAATTTTAAAGTGGCTGTTATTTGTTTTAAAATTAATTCTAAATTGAAATTAGTATTTTTCAAAATAAACACAACAATTTCAATCAAATCACTTACATGATAGTCTTTCATAATTTATTCAATTAATTTTGGAATAGTCTCTTCACTCCAATCTTCATTAAATTAATATTCTTTAGAAATCTCATCCATCACAAATGATAATATTTCTGGATTATTAATGTGATTAATTAACCATTAAAGAGCATTATTAAATATTTAATGAGAATTATCCAATCTATAAAGTTTCATATAAGATATTAAAAAATCTTCATCATCTAATAATTCTTGAAACTAATTTTTTTGTTATTTGAATTTCACTTTTGATATAACAATAGGAAATTTCTCTTTAAAGTACTCCTGAGCTTTAGAACTATACTCGATGTTCTCGGTTGGGCATTTTAAATTTTCTTCCCCAACTAATTTGGAACAAAGAAATTTGATATGTTAATCAATATTTTACATAAATTTTTGATTTTAAATATAAACAATTATATATAGGTAATTTTGATCATATCAAAAAATTCAGAATCATTAATTCTTTAAAGAGTGAATTAAATAAAAAAATATTCAAATAGGCTCTTATTAACTATGACAAATTGCATACACTTTTCCAAATAGAATTATTAATAGGTAATCTTAGTATTCTGGTTCAGAAGTATTATCTGTTGTAGAAAATAAAAAGTATTATTTTTAATTTCATACTCAAAAATAGCATTTTTATAATTGTTAATCATTTAAAATTACTTTAGTCACAAATCTGACAATAGGAATCAAAATTATTGGCTGATTGTGTTTTAATCCAAAAAAAGAAACATTTTTTACATTTCTCAAATTTTACTAAATTATGATATCTTGAAACTATGAATTTAATTTAATTTAAATGGTATAATTCAAGCATACTCTTATTTAATATGTTTCTTAATTAACTATTCTTTATTCTATCATTACAACTAATACAATTCAAATTGTATTGTCCTTAATTTATTAACTATTATAATTAATCTCTTAAGCAATCTTTATGAAAATTATGTTAACAATTCAGTTTAAAATTATCATGATCAATATACGTGAAACATATTTTACATTTAATAATCTCCTAAACAGATTATCTTACTTACATTCCATATGAATTAAAGTTATTATTATTAGTATTTAGATATCTTGATGATAAATTTGGTAATTTATATTAATTTATTTAACAATTCTCACTCTTATGCAATCTGAAATTTTCTTTTTTCTTTTATTTCTTAAAATTAATTGGTTTTAACAACTCCAGTAATTTATTTTAAGAATTTTATACTTATTAATAATCTACTTTTTGTTGCTTAGGATTTTAAATTATGAATTCATTTATTGAATAAATGTGTGACATTTTATCTTTTTATTTTATTGGTTATTCTTTCAGTTAAATCTAACTTTCATAAGATTTAATATCTGGGGCCGATTTCTTAGCATTTATTTTTGTACGGATTTGAGGAATACTTTAAGGTAAAGTTCTCTATTTTGGATAGCTTTCATCAAAAAGTAAATCAATAAGTGTCATTCTTTCCCTTGAACTATTTGGAAGTTATTTTATCATATTTATTGATTCAAACAAAATTTATAATTAAATTTTTTATTGTTTAACTTAAAAATAGAAAAAATCCATTATCATATCAATTATTTTGGGAAAATCATTAAATAATACTACCTCTTATTATTTCAAAAAAGATTGCTAACATAAAGATAAATTTACAAATCAAATTTTAAAATGGATATCAATTAATTACTTTTTATGATTTGAAAATATGATATCTAAAATATCTTATATGACAAAAAGCGCTACAATATTAGTTTTTATCTCTATTAAAAGTTGTTCTAATTTTATAGTAGTTTTCTAATTATTATTTGTTTTAATTATCCTTTTCAATAAATTGAATTAATTCTCCTCAAAGAAATTTAAAATGAACTTAGTTTTAATAAATTATCAGCATAGATATTAAGTTTAGGCTTTTAATAGTTTATTTATTTTATATTTAATTTTTGCTGCAGATAATCTAATCTGATATCATATTTTAATTCAATGCTTATTTAATTTTAAAAATGAAAATAAAATAAAATCTATTTCTTAAAATATTAAAACAACTGCTAATCTTTCTTGATTATCAGAAATAAATTGAATATAAAATAATTAGAAAATGATAGAATAGGATTATAATTAAATAATTTTAATAATGTATTAGTAAATTAATGATTATTTTTTATATTATTATACTCATCTAACTTTTGCTCTAAGAGCTTCAATTTCAGCACACATAAGAACTATTAATGATTATAAATCTTATATTTATCTTTTTAACATTCTATCATCAAAGGGTTTTGCATTTCTAAGTTTTTCCAATTCTTTTAATAGTTCTTATATCTATCTTTCATAATCAGCAATAATATCTGTAGGATTGACTTATAAATTACTGCTATTATTGATTTAGGATTATAATAATTATTAAGCTTTTAATCTATCTTATACCATTTAATTTTAAATTTCCATATCCTTAATTTATCTTTCTAATTATTTTATCCTATTTTCAGCATCTCTAAGTTTTTAAAGTGTATCTAATGAATTATCATCTGTTTCTCTTAATTATTTTTATAAGCTATAAATTAAATCTTACATTTAATCTACTTTTTATTAATCCATTCCTTATGATGCATTTTATGAAGCTTATTGAGAGTTTTATAAATCAGACAATTATTTTTTCAATCTTTCTATTTCATCCAAAGCTTTTTAAAGATCTAATTCAGCCTTTTTTGCTTTTTTCTCATTTGCTTCAGCTGAGGTTCTCAAATCATCATTTGCTCTTAATTAATTATTATATTTAGTGTTTAATTCATCATTTTCTTATTATAATAATTAAATTTTATTATTAAGACTTTAGATTAATTATTAAAGTCTTATAATTTCTGTTTTTTGAATCAGAATTTATTTTAAAGCTTTTTCAGTGGGAGTTTCTGATTCTAATTCAGCTAATCTATCTTCAAGTTATTTAACTTTATTTCTTTCATCTTCTAATTCTTATAATGCTTAATTGAGTTCTAATTGAAGTTATTAATAGTCAAGTTATTTTTTGGTTAATAAATCTTTCAATCTTTCTACTTCTTCAGCCAATCTAGCTGCTTTAAGAACCATATCTCTATTACTTAGTTCAAATTATTTATATTCTTATAAAGCTAAATCCAAACGCTATGCTTTATTTTTCCATTCCTCTACTTCATTTCCTTATTGAAAAACGATAACATTTAATCTTTCAATTTCTGCTATCAAAATATCATTTCTGTGATTTGCATCTCTTAATAACACTTCTGCTTAAGTAAACTAAATCATTTTATTTTCAATCTAGCTTATTTATGTTTTATAACTTGATATCACTTATTTATATTAGTTTATTTCCTCCTATTAAGCTACAATATTAAACAATATTACTTCTTATTATTTGACTTTAATGATCTATTTAAACCTAAAGGTCACCCCATCTTTCATTGTCTTGTGCTTCCATTAAATTGAAATGATTAATTTTATTTTTAATATTTATTTTAATATATATTTCATCATCATCTTCTTACATAATTTTAAATTGGTTGTCCTTATTAGATAATAACTGGTTATTACTAAAGATATTAAGGATGTTATTATTAATAGACTTTATTTTATTAACTGGTTGCATGTTTTGATGATGATGCCTTTTATTATTGTTGTTATGATTATTATTATTGATATTATTATTATTATTATTATTATTGATATTATTATTATTGTTATTGATATTATTATTGTTGTTATTAAAATAAATTAGGCTATTATGATTGAGAGTTTGCATTTAATTTATAAATTTGATTTCCTTTTTATTAAACAGTTTGCATAATCGGGGGTTAAACCTAAGGTTATCTATTTTATTTAGTTAAGAGTAATTATTGAAGTGCTTTTTAATCAGCTTGTGATAATATTTTAGCTTCTTTAGGTTATTAAAATTATTTTTAAGCACTTTCAATTGATTTTTGAAGCTGTTAATTTTTTTATTTTTCTTAATTTAATTCTTGATTTAATTAGTCTATTTTTAAATCTTTTTTATCTAAAGCCTCTTACAATTATTTTATCTATTTTTCATATTCCTTAATTTAGAGATTATCTTTATTAGAACTATTGGAATTCTTTTCAAAATCTTCTTTTGATTTGATAATCTATCTTTCATATGCTATTCTATTCAATTCCATTGTTAACAATAGTAACTTTGGATCTTCTGGGATTTATTCATGTATTTCCATTTTAATTAATTTATTTATATGTAATAAAGGGATCAAATTTAATATGATTTACCATCTAACTCATCTGAATTGATATTATAAATATCTTCATGCCACAATTTAATGCTTTTGGATAAAGTAAAGAAATTAATATATAACATAAAAAGGCTTTTGAGATTTAATAATTCTATATGACAAGGCATAATTAAGATAAAGAAAACTTTCCAATAAATAAAGATTTATTTAATGAAATCTAAACATTTCATAAAGAAGCAACTTTCTTAAAATAATAATTATCAGATAATAAAGACTGGATTCATGATTGCAATACTTAGTAGTAATAAATATATAATTAATATAAGTTTTTAGATGAGTTATAAGTTTATACCTAATTCCTCAAATGTTGCATTGAAATTTGAATCAATTATGAAATTACCAATTATAAATGCATGTGCTTTAATCTATTAAACTGAACTTTTTAATAATTGGGTTCCATTTTGTAAAGTTAGTAAAGCAGTACAAAATTATTTAGATAATAGATAAAATCACCAGGTTTAGGTCATAAAATTTGCTATATTATGATGGATCTTCCAGTTTTATCAAATAGAGAAGCTTATATTAGAGGATATGGAGTGGATAAATTAGAATAATCAAAATCATTTTTAATATGTTGTTAAACAATTCATCATGATAAAGAATACTAATAATTACATTAAATTAACACTACTTAAGTTAATTGTGTATAAGTGGAAATTAATTTTTTTGCTGTTGAAGTTACACTTATTAATGCTGGAGAATTTATTATGAAAAGTGTTGCTAATTTAGATCCTAAAATGAAATTTATTCCTTAAAAAGTGATGAATTTTTTAATGAAAAAAATAGGGAAATTTATGTATGAAAGATTTTGTAAATTGGCTTAAAATATTAAAGGAACTTAATGGGAAAAAGCCATTTAAGAATAGCCATAATTTTATGAACACATAAGAAAAAGATTTGAATAATATTTAAGTAAATATTGATTTTTCATTTTCTATTTTTTTAAATATATTTTATACAACAACACAATTATCTATCATAACATTTAATCTATTAAATATTCCACAAATATCTTTGCATTAGGAGTCGAAGCGCGTTGTGCTATTGAATTTACAAGATCATTTCTCTCCTAATGCAATAAGCTACTGATTTTTTTTTATTTTTCACATAATATTTCATAAGACTCATTAGAATGGTGATTTTGCTTATTTGTTTCTTTATTTTATTCAGTTATATTATTTTATTAATCAAGCACTTCCCACCTATATCTTAAATATTTATAATATCGGTTCTTAACCATGGCTAAAGTTTTTCCAGGGAAATGCTTATGAATTTTTTAGAATTTAGGCCCTATATTTTGAACCAATTCTAAAATCAATCTATCCTCTTCTGGTGTGAATTTTTATCCTGGCTTTCTATTGCTTAGACCTTCAGTAGTTCGTCTGAAGTAATTTTATTAATTAATACTCATATTTTTTAGTTAATTTCTTTTTTCCTGATAAAGTTCTATCTTGTTCTTCTTAATCTTCTTAATCGCAACCATTTTCTTATTCTTAATCTAATTCTTTGTCTATTTCTTATTCTTGACTAGACATAAAAATTAAATAAATTTGTTTATTATTCAAACGCAATTTTTTATTAGAAACAAATATTATTGAACTTGTTTTCTAACTTACACTTTGATTTTCTATACAATAAAGAGAGATATAATATAAATTTAATTTGACATTTTATTTTATATAAAAATCATTTGTTTCCCAAAACTTTAACCATTAATTCTCCTAATCTTTAAAATTCTGTTCTGCTTATCTTTTTATCATTATTTGTATCTAAATAGGATAACATATAATCAATTTCCTTTTTACTAGGTTGCTATCTTATTTTAGAAGAAAAACCTAAGAATTCATTTCATTAGCAAGATTAATCAACAAGGCATTTAATTCTTCTTTTTCAATAAATCCTGAGTGATTTTTATCATACCGATCGAAAACACGATTTGAGAATTCTGCTACTTATAAACTGTTCATACTTAAATTGTATATTATTTTATTAAATAATTATATTAGTTTAGATATAGTGATTTCTCATATTTTAAATGTTTAAATCTTAGTATCAAATTTCATATGCATTTCTTATATAAAGGTTTTACTGATTTTGACATTGAGTGATGCATCAAGTAATTCATCCCAATCTACTTCTAATTCATTATCATCAATTCTATAATTTTATTGACTAAGGATGCAAATAATTCCAGTCATATCCTCACTCATCAAAATTTCTTAATGATAAAGAAGAAAACCAATAATCAATTGATAAATATAGGTCCAACCATATCTGAAGATGCAATCAAATAATTTCACTTATTTTTAGATTGGTATCATCATTCCAAATAATGAAAATAACCATGATGCACAAAACATGTCTACTTTAACTCCATTGATACAGAAATGTTGGTACAAGTCTGGCATTTTTGTTAAGATAAGATAGTCAATCAATTAGATATGCTTTGATAAACCAGGAGACCTACTATTATATAAACTTACATCGGTGAATAAAGATCATTCATTTATAGTAAATCAATCAATTTTCTTAGTAATTCAAAAGCAACATAATTATCAGAATGATAAATCAATCCAGCAGCAACAAAATTCATCCCTTACATGTAACCAACAATTTTATTGTATTTTGAATATGCTATCAAAACCTATTATAAGTCAGATAATTTTTAAGGATAATTCTTTAGAGGATGTGTTCTTTCAACATCAAGATTTATTTATTTAATAATTTTTGGTTCGCATTTACTTTCTAATAAATTAGAATATTTAGTCTTTAATTTATCAATATCATAATTGCCTAACCATTCCTTAGCTTTTATGCAAGTATTATTTTAATAAGGCAAACATTTACAAGGATCTACTTCTCGAGTAAATAATCTCATAATTTTATTGATTACACTCTCCTCTTTTTCTTTTGGTCTAATATCATCATATGTTAATGTACTGAATCCTTAAACTGAACATACAGTTTGATTACTTCCACATCTTTAAGGAACCTTGATTATTTATATCTGCAAAATAAACTAAAGTTTAATACCTTAGGTTATTTTGGATAATGAATGGTTTTTGATGCATCTCGAATTACTCCTGTCACATGAATATTTCTAATTTACTAAACAGGTTTTGGATTTTCAATAGCTGGTTCAAATTTCCTTTCCAATTATCCATGAGAAGACCTCCCTTAAAATTGCTAGGACATTCGTTAAAATATTAATTAATTATAATATAATGCATACAAGTCGATCAGCTCCCTCATGTAACTTATGAATTAATCTAGTAATGACAATCGAATAAATGTACAGTGTTGTAAGAGGTGAAACAGGAGCTTGGGGTATTGAAGGATATGAAGTCCCCAAGAAGTATTGTGACCCACTTAAGTAAGTCTAAGAAAGAGAGTTTCTGGCAGGAAAATTAAAGAAACCTCCTACTATTACTAAAAGAGGACATTTCTTAGATGATATAGCCAAACCATTTAGAAATCGTAAGGTCCCTGTTTAATATAATGTTGAATATAAATGGGTAAATGAAAAAGATAAGGAAAGAAAAAGGTAAACTATCAATATACTCTATTAATAGATCAAAAAGTGAATTATTGAAGAGAAATACTTTTATAGATGACATATTTCTATAGAACAGTAAAGCAAACTATCCTAAACCTGGACCAGGAAAGTATGATGAAAATAGATCTATTGAAAATCAAGCTAAAAAGTGGAATGGCAAATCTAAAATTCAATATGGAGAAAAACCAGACTTTGTTTAAGACTATTAACATTTAGGAGCTGTTTTACCTGCTGGTCCTGGTAGCTATAATCCTCATGTACTCAATATATTATAATAATAAAGCCTATTTTACCCAAATTAAAACATAATAATACAAATCCCAAGATTATGATAACTAAACATAAAGATTTTGATAAGTTTAAATTAGAAATGCTTAAAAACTATCCTAAACCTGATTGTACTAAATATAAGCCATATCCTGTCGATTATAATACTTTTGGAAGATCTTTAGAATTGCTTTATGATAAAAAAAAAATAGAGCCAGCCAAAATTAAATATTGGGTATGATTAGTAATTAATAATAAAGGGTAATCCTAATAAACCTGTCACTAGAAATAAGTCAGAGGCTAAAGTTCCTCCTTAATATAATTTAATTGCATATTGGCCTGGAAAAGAAGATGGTAGTGCTAAAAATAAAGAAATGAAAAAATTTAATTGGATGAATAAAGTCACAAAAGGAATTTAATCATCAATATATTATTGATATATAAATAAATAATAATCATTATTTATAAAATTATTTTCTATTAATGAATCTCAACTAAGAAAATCCTCACACTTTAATCGTCAATCTAATTAACAATTAAGCTATAACAAATAAAAATTAAGAATTAAATATAAACAAAATCATTGAAAATCTTTTAAAATAAACTCTTAATCTAAGTTATGATGGACCTACATATTGCTAACTTACAGGTTAGTTTATAGGAAACAAGAAATTGATAAAGCTGAAAGTTAATAAAGATTTACATGTTAATGTGCTTGATTAAAGTCTTATAGATTTAATACAAAATCATTGTTTTATTGATGGAAGATTTGAAAGATGCTTTTCAACTATAAATAATGTATAGTTTATTATGACATTTGAATAAAAGACAGAATTTAGTAATCCTACAAGTTTGGAAATCACAGACGATATTTTGAAATTGGTATATGGAGAAGAGAGGTTCATTTAAATGATGGAAGAGTATATAATTTATAAAATTTTAGAATTTAAGAATTTTATTAACTAAATCAGAACTTTTAGGATAGCTTAACCTAAAATTAATTAGTTTAATGTCCTAAGACGTAAAAATATATATTATTCAATGATGGGTTTAATATACAAGGCAAAATGTATAGTTTAGAAGGAGCATTGACATTTTTAAATCAGGATTAAGGAAAGTTATTTGATCATCAAAAACATTTCTTACAATAATATTAGGGATATTGAATTTTTGAATTGATAATTGAGAAATTTTTTTAATTTATGCTGAAGAGTTGGTCTTAAAAATAAAAGCGCAGAATATTAAATATTTTTCTTAAGAATATAAAATAATTTATTAAAGATTTTTTAAAAATTTAAAATAATATGTAAATTTTTGTTAAGACCCTTACGGGTAAGACCATCACACTTGATGTTGAGCCATCTGATACTATCGATGCTGTTAAAGCAAAGATTTAAGACAAAGAAGGAATTCCTCCTGATTAATAAAGATTAATTTTTGCTGGAAAACAATTAGAGGATGGAAGAACTCTTTCAGATTATAACATTTAAAAGGAATCAACTCTTCATTTGGTATTGAGACTCAGAGGAGGTGGTATGGAACCAACCATTGCTGCTATTGCCAAAAAGTACAACGTTGAAAAAAAAATATGCAGAGTTTGTTATGCCAGGTATTAAATTTAAAAAAATAAAATAGATTACCACCAAAAGCTCATAACTGTAGAAAAAGAAAGTGTGGACACTCAAATTAATTAAGAATCAAGAAGAAGCCTAAGGATTGATATAATAATAATAAATAGTACAATAATAAATAAATATGTTTTATCATTCTAATTTATTTATTTAATTAGTTATGAATTCTCAACAATAAAACAATCCAGAATACTTTCCACCTCCAACTTATTATTGTAATAAAAGTGGGCATCCTTTGACATGGAAATCAACCAGCGGTCATCCATGTGCAGAATGTAAGATTAAAAATTGCAGATCTCGTTATTGGTGCTAATAATGTTAAGAAGCATTTTGTTTAGAATGCATGACTCCACCTCTCTTTGGAATTATTTGTGGAGCAGGACATCCGTAAACTTGTAATTACTATTTAAAAGAATGAAATTGAGCATTGTACCTCATCATGTTTGTGATTATTGCAGTGAAACTATTTAAAATTAAGCACATAGATGTTAAATATGTGATTTCGATATATGCCCTAGTTGTTTACTGCAAAAAGAGGATTGATTTTTTGTATAAATAGTACAAATATTTACTTATAAATGTCTCATTTAATCATTTCAATGAAAATTTTATTCTAAATTGAACTTGATTGAGAGAAAGAATGTATTAAACATAAAAAAACTTTTATATAATAATATATGAATAAGTTATATATTGAATCGATAAAGACATCTCCAGAATTAATACCAATAGACATTTATTTTATTCTCAAAATAGGTGAACATTGCCAATTTTCAAATATCTTAAGTGTAAATACATAATTGTGCATGATATGTTTTAGTTGTAATAGCAATCTTAAACTTGTAATATGTGCATTTAGTATTAACTCAGAGAAAAGTAGCCAATATCTATAGAATGTTGGGCATATGATTAACATTTAGTACCAAAAGCATTCTTTGGCAAAGAAACATTAACTAATACAACTCGCAAGATAACATTAGATGGAATGGAAATTTAAATTCGTCAATCTTAATAGGAAAGAAGCAGAACCCCAGAGATTGCTATGAAAAGAGATACTTCACCCTTCGGAAGAAGAGATTTAACTCCAAAAAGAGAGAAAAAATGATCTATACTCATCTTTTGAGGTGGGGTTGTATAAGTTATTTCAATATCTTTTTTAATGTAAATATCAAATCGACAAAATTTGTGTTTTCTTCAATGTCTGTGTATCGAGATGAAAGCATACTAAAAGGACTTCTTCAAGGAAAAACTATAGAACAAGGGGCAGAGCTACATTTATTCATAATTATTGAATAAAATGTGAGGAAGGTCATTCAAGTGAATATTAATATGATTATTAGGAAGCTATAAAATATTAAAGGCATTTCAGAAAGAAATAACTTAATTCCTAAGATATTGAATTAGCTATCAAGGATTAAAATATGTTGAAGGTACTCTGATATTAATCATAAAGTCTGAAATCGTTGGATTTTAATATATGGATAGTATTAATTTATCCAAAAGAATGGATGAGTATGTACTCAATGATTAAGTATAAAATCTCAATATTCAAAGAGCTTGGATTTAAGAGATTTAATTACACATTAGATGAAAACAGTTAAAATACCACTAGGATTTCCCTCTCTTTCCATTTTTAATGTTATGAAGGATTATTAGATGATTAATTCATAAGAGACTCAATCCATTAGTAAAATAACTTATTATTATTTAAGTGTAATATAAGGATATCATTTAAGCAGAGTCATTCTAAATTATGGAAAACAAAAAGTCTTTTAATATTATTAAAGATAATGTAATTAGCATTTTGACAGTTCATTAATAATCTATCGTCAAAAATTTCAAAGATATATTTGAAAAAGAAGTAACAAGTCTTAAGTTTAATTTCTCTTAAGAATTCGTCTAATGTATCTCCACATTTTTAGTTTAGTACTCTCTGATTTAGAAAACTATAAAGATGTTGCTCAAATAGTTCCTTTTATTATTCAATATCTATATAGTTAATAAGATCAAGTTCAAATTTATTATTACAAACATAGATGTGTAATTATTGAATGTTTGAATAAACTCATAGTCAATAAATAGATTAATTTAGAATTTTAAGTAAATAAATATAGTCATTAATATTAGTTGCATCAAATACTTAAAATTTTGGTTTAATTTTTGACAGCAAAAATAGTAAAAATTAATATAAAATCATAAATTGAACTTTAAATAAAGACAGCTAAATGTCTTAATTATTTGCTTGAAAAATTTAATTTAAAGTATTAAGCATTGAGGTAGAATATTGATCGAGTTATTTTGGATAAATTTGAGAAAATTAAAAGCAAAATTTAAAGAAAGAATTCTCACAAATCATTACTAAAAGTTTATTCAATAATTTCATATTTTATTGAATAAAATGTAAATGTTTAACATTTGAAGTTTGTAGAATAAATGTGTGAATTAATAAGAAATATTGAAGTTGGAAAATAATAGATAAAATAATAATATCTAGATTATGAACACTTAGCTGGATTAATATCTTTATCTTTAGGAGTATATTATTTATTTGAATATGATAGAGTATTTTAATGAAAGTTATTAATGGATTGTAATATTTTTAGCCAAAAGATGAAAATAAAATTTTGCATATTATAAATAATACAAGATAATTGATGTTAGAAATGGGATTAAATGAAATGTTAGTAATGCAATCTTATATTGTGGAGCATATGATTTTATGATTATTATTACCTTAATTTTATTTTGAACACCAGTATATATATTATTTTAAATAAAATTCAATGTCTAGGAGATATGATTAAAAGACTAATACATTTACTCCAGATGGTAGATTAAAACAGGTTGAATATGCAATTGAAGCAATTAATTAAACAGGGTCAGCATTAGGAGTATTAACAAATGAGGGAATGATATTAGCCACTGAAAAATAAGAAGTATCTCATTTACTAGAACATTCAAAACATTCGGAAAAAATATATCCAATAGATAGACATATATTTTCTGTTGTATCTGGACATACAGCAGATGCAAATATTTTAATTAATTTTGCAAGAGAAGCAGCTGCAAATCATAGGTAGATTACCAATTTAATATTAGATATTAGTTTTAAGATAACGTTGGTTTAGAATAATTGATAATTAATATATGTGATTATAAACAGAATAAAACTTAAGTAGGAGGATAGAGACCTTTTGGAACGGCTTTCTTATTTGCTGGTTATGATAAGGAAAATGGATTTTAATTATTTAGTACTGATCCATCAGGAAATTATGCAGGTTGGAAAGCAACTGCAATTGGAAAAAATAATTTAGCTGCAAATAGTTATTTAAAATAAGATTATAAAGAAAATTTAACATTGGAATAAGTAAAATAATATTTGAATAATTTAAGGGATTAGATATTGCAATAAAAGCATTAGTAAAAACTATGGATACATCATCTCCTTAACCTTCAAAAATAGAGATTGTTGTGATAAGTAAACAAGGAAAAGAAGTAAAGAGCAAAACCTACAATGAGAAAGAAGTTTTGAGTTTGCTTTAAAAGAATGGGTTTAGTAATGAATAAATGTAGCAGGAATGATATATTGTTCAAAAGGAAACATTTATTTGTTCATTAAATATTTATTATATTTTCATTATTTCAAATTGGCAACTAATTTGTGAACATTTTCATTCCAATTCATTTTAGTACCTGTAATTGGTAATGGTCTTCTCATTGCTTTAAAGAAAATGTCAGGCATAGAATTATATAAATTATCCATTCCGGTTAGATGTTTATTTTCTAATTTAGAAATTGTATGAACTATCTATTTAGCACTTTCACTTGCAGCTGATAAATCTACATTGATTCCTTCTGAAAAAGTATTTACATTTTTTAATTACACATTACCATCTTCATAATAATGTGCTTAAACTTTTAAATCACCTTTTAATTGTGTTCTAGTAAATTCCCAAGTTGATATCCAACTTCCACAGCTAAAAATATTAAAAAGAATTATACAAAAAATTAGGTAAATTTATTGTTTTTGCAGTTATTCCTAAATAGAATGTAAAATCAGAAGCATCACCTTAATACATAACTAAAACAAATGCAATAAAATTATACCATATGCTCCACAAATTTTCTCATTAAATTATTAACTCAAATAGAGATTAAGTTATTATTCAAGTGCATCTCTAAGTTGATTTAGATCTGGTTCTGATGGCAATTCTACTTAAGATCTAGATATTATTTCTAATTTCTCATGATCTACTTAAATTGTTTCATTGTTTTTTTAATCAACATAAAAGTCTTCCTAAGAATTTAGAACACTTGTCAAGATCTAAAATATCATTACAGACTAATACTTAAGTACTCTATCCTTTAAACAAAGCTAAATGTTCTTCATTATGATCCTTTAAAGCTTATAGCATTATAGGATCCTATGGATTAATATTCCCTATGATTTTGCACAAATCCTTGATCACTAAGTTAGCTTGTCCAAATGGTGTATTTTTAACAATATACTTTACTACTTTTTCATACTACTAAACTTATGTGATTTCTTCTTCTCCTTAATTCATTATATATCTTTTTATAAATTAAATATAATCATTTTTATAGCATAGATAACAAATAATATGTTTGTGGTGTTGTATTCGTATAGGTGTTCTATTCCTTTGAACAATCTACTCAGAGAAACACATTTATATCAGAGATAGATGCTTATTGACTAATATGTAAATAACCAATCATCGCTTTATCTCTCACAAATATAATCAAAAATTAATATTTATATTTTATTATTATTATTATTATTATTATTATTATTATTATTATCTTTTAATTAGTAAGTACTTAAATATTATATGTCATTTATTCTATTTTTGTTTTAATTTTGAATACCATGTAGGTCCTTCCTATTCTTTTTATTGACTATTTTGAGCACCTCCTAAAAAATATTTAAATTTATACCTTTCCGTTATTAAGCACTTTATGGATCAATATAAGTTTTTGTATTTAATGCTTCAGACATTTCATTTATTGCACTTCTTAAATTTTATCTCATATCATTTTAACTACCAGTGGCTATGCCAATTAAAATATTCTATATATTTTATAGATTCTATCTTTTGATTCTCAATCTCTATAAATCTTCTTCAGCTCTCATGAATCTCTATTTATAAATAAATTCTCTATACATTTGCAATATCTTCATTTTCAGCTTTCAAAATCATATAATCTTAATCTAATTTCTTCAATAAACTTTTATATTTCAAGATCTCTCTATCTTTTTCTTCTATATGTGCTACCAAATAAGAATGACTAAATGATATATATTAAATAATTACGGTTGATGAGTCTTATCAAGAACATCCCTTTATAATTTAGTCTCTTCTTATAACCTTTCAATTTCTGATTGTTTTTCTCTTAATTATTTTTACAATTCTTCTGATTCTCTTTATTTAGCTTAAAGTCTTTATGCTAAATTTAAAGCTTGTTAGATTCTTCTTTTAGAAGAGGTTGGTACAGTTCCCATAAATCCTAATAAAGGATTCATTGCATCATAATCATTTCCTGCTGATTTCATAATGGCATCATCAATTTCTCTTTCGATTCCTTCATAATTTGTTAATTATTCTTTTGCAACTTATAATTAAGCATTTATATTGCTCATTTATTCTTTAGCTTCAACTTAACATTTATAATATTCTGCTTTCAATACATTAATTTTTTCTCTTAACATTTCATTCTCATGTTTAGTTGCTTTAAGATTAGCTAGAGTATCTTCATATATATTTTAAACTCTATCAAGTTCTTCTACTTTTAATCTTAATTAAATTCTCTATTCAGATAAATCTCCATCTAATTTTCTTTATAAGTTTCTATAATCAATCAATAAATGATCATATAACGTTTGTTTTTCTTTTACTTAACCTTCAAGATTATCTTTTCGAAGTTATATTTCTTCTTTTGCATCTTTCAAAAATTTTATCTATGTTTCATAAATATCAACTAAATTTTATTTAGCAATTTCTAATTCATGATGATGTTTTTCTTTAAGATCTGCAATTTCAGAATAAATCCTTTTCTCATAAGCTTAAGTCTAATCAGTTTTTGAATTAAGTAATTAAAATAAATATTCCTAAGCTTAATTTTTTGCTTCCAAATACTCTTTTTCTGTTCTATCTAATTTATCTTCTAATCTTTTAACTTTTTCTAATAATTAAATATTTTCTTTAGTTAAATATTCTTTATCTTATTATAAAAGATCTCCTTTTCTCTTAGCATCATCTTATGCTTTATATTAATCTCCAGCCTTATCAGAACTTTAATTATTTTAATAGAAACCAGATTTCTCTTCTAATAAAAACTTTTCTTATTCCAATCTTTTATAATCTCTACTTAATTCATCAAATCTAGCTCCTTTTTCTCTCAATAATGCTAATTCTTCTTAAGATTTAGTTAATTCCAATTCTAATGCTTTTCTAGCATTATCATAATTTAATTTATGTCTTCTAATATCTTCTTCTCTATCAACCATCATTTTTTAACCATGTTCTAAATCATTCAATAAGAATTAATGTTTTTCTGTAATTTGTCTAAGTTCTTCTCTTAATGCTAATATTTCTTTTTTTTAGAATTCTCCTTCTTTTTTAAATGGATAAACAATTTCCCAAACTTAAACTAATACCCAATCCTAAATAGGCATTTCCTTTTCATTCATATCTCTTAATCTCAAATATACAGCTTCTGGTACTAATCCAGCTAACATATCTCTAACTTATGCTAAAGCCTCTCTTATTCCTGGTAATTGCGACTCTTAATATATCATCTTAGACTTCAATTATTTTATTTCACTTAAAAGTTTATCAGTCTCTATTCTATGATTTGCAAACACTCTTTGTCTATCAGCATCATTAGCTGCTTAAATACGTTTAATTTCTGCATTTAAAAATGCTATTTATTTCTCTTGCATTCCTACAATAGATGAATAATTCTATAATTTAATCTATTATTTATATTACATTTTTCATATTGACTGTGTCATGATTATTTCCACCTCTATTATGCTTATTTTATTAATAATTCTCTATATCTGCTATAGACACAGAATCTCTCATGCTATCTGATTCACTGTCACTCATCATCACTTATCCTTATTCAAATTATCTTATATCTTCCTCAGAAAATGTAGATGGATCAATATTCATCGTTTTCATAAGTTTTATTATGTCTTTTCTCTTTGTACTCATTTATCAGTTAATTAATTCAAATTTTTTTATTATTTTTAATATTTAATCATTATTAAACTCGATTTATTTACATCTCTATCTTCATATGTTTTAAATATAATCCAAATAAAATCATTCAATTTTAAATTACAAATTTAATCATTAGACACCAACTTACAATATATTATTTATACTCATTTAATAAAGATCTCATAAAAACTATAATCAACTTTAATTAATTAATTCGAACATAATCTATACTTATTTATGTTTAATAAGTTAGTTTTATTATTATTATTACTAATATGAAAAATTCAAATTTTAACAATATTATTAAAATTAATGTCTTAAACAAGAACTAGTTAAAGCTCAAAACATCAAAGAAAAAGTGAGAATCGTTTTTAATAATAAATTCAAAGTCTTTTAAAAAATGTAAGTAATCCACCTTCAAATATCTCTAAATAATGGATTAAAGATAGAGAGGGAGAATAAAAAAGTTTATTTGAAGAAATTAAACAAAGTGAATATCCTAGTAAAAATTAAACTCTTTCACAATTAACTGATATAGGAAAGAAATTATTAAAAATGAAAAAAAAAATAAGAACTTTTACTGCAGATGATCGTCTAAAAACACCAGTGTCTGAGAATAAAAGTAGAAAATCAACTAAGTCAAGGAAAAGTTAAAGTAAAAAAGGATAAAGTTCACATAGTTAATCAAGAACATAATTAAAAAGTCTTGAATAAAGCAGAAGTAAATCTTCAAAAAAAAAAGATAAAAAGTAATTAAAATCTTCAAAGACATAAAATACTCCTAAATTCAAAAAGAAAACCAATGAAAATAAACCAAAAAGTTTCTCTAAAGAAATGTAACAATAAAAAGATAGTTCAAGACCTAATGTAAGAATCATAGAATCAAGAATTGCAAAGAATACTATAGATAGAAGTTCAAGGTATATTAATTAAATTAATTAAAGTCCATCACGTTCTATTGGATCTTCTAAAAAATAATTAAAAAATAGAAGAACTGAATCTCTTTGTGAAGAATCAAGTTCTTTATCAGATTCCAGTGATACGAAAGAAATTATGAAATTAAAAATGAATTCAAATAATCCATAATCTAGATATGAAGACTTAATGGATCATGAAAAAAAAGTTAAAGAACTTGATGCTGGATAATTAAGTAGAGAAGAAAATCTTATGTTAACAACTAAATTAGAATCTGTTACTAAAGAAAAGTTATTGAGGGAATATCGTATTTTATATTATAGGAGTAAAGAAGTCAAAAAATTACTTACTGAATATTATGAACAAAATCTGCGTTTAACTGATGAAATCAATGAATTACAATAAATTATTTATGATAAATAACTTGAAAATAAGTAAGTCAAAAAAGAATTAAAATCTTAAATTAAAGAAATGAAAATTATGCAATCAGAATATAGTACTAAATTAGATCAATTAGGAAAATCTTATCAATAACATGAAATTAATAGTGTTCCATTAAATGATTATGAAAGATTAAAATAAGAAAATGACAAAATTTTAAATGAAAATTAAATGTTAAAAGAAGATTATAAAGTTATCAGTCTTAAAATGTAATAAATAGAAAATGAAATCTATTAAAAGAGATAATATGAAATTCCAGAATAAGAAATTACCCAAAGATTACAAAGAGAATTAGACTCTGCTAAAGATTAAGCTGATAGAATAAAAGAGGAAAATATGAAATTGAAATTACAATTAGATAAAGAATAAAATTCTAATCGAGAATTATCATAATAAATCAATTTAAAAAAAAATGAACTTGATGGAAATGTTGAATAAAAATAATATGAACTATCATCATTAAAATCTCATTTATAAACTGCTAATACAAAAATTTTAAAACTTGAATAATAATTAACCTAGATTAAATATCAACTCATTTCAGAGTAGGAATAATCCTTCTCTATTCGTGAAAAAATAATAAGATAAGAAGAAGAATTAAGAATAGCTAATCTGAAAGTTGAAAATAGAGAAAAAGAAATAAATGAATAAAGATCAAAAGAATTAATATTAAAAAAAAAAATATTAGATTTAGAATCTAAAATTGAAAATCAAATATAATAGCCTCAATCTTATTTTGAACCTGTTATTTCAATTAATAAACCAAATACTTCTGATTAATGTAAATTTCATTATTAAACAATTAGTTATTAATAAAGAATTATAAGTTGAACGTCAACTATTAGCCAAAACTTAAGAATAGCTATTAAATATTTAAGGAGAAAATGATCAATTAAAAAGAAATCTTAAATAAATAGAATTGGAATTATAATTTGAAAGGCAATAGAATGAATAACTTAAATTAAAATCCTAATAGTTATAGTAAGAAAAAGAATTCACACTTCAAAGAACATAAAAATAATTTGAAGAACTAGAAAACAATCATTCCAAAGAATTCTAATTAACTGAATAACAAAATAAAAACTAAGAAAATTTATTATATTAGGCTTAATAAAGAATTTCTGAATTAGAAAATGAACTTAGAATATTAATTAATAAAGAAGAAGAAAATAAAAGTTTAATCAATGATTAGAAATTATAAATTGAAAAGTAGTAATTAAAGCTCGATTAAAATTTAACAAAATTGAATGAATTTTAGAATTAGCTTAAAGAATTAGAATTAGAAAATTAATAACTAAATGAAAATAATAGATAATTGAAAACATAAACTTAATAATTGATCAAAGAATTAGAATAGATTGATAGGATAAAAGATAATTATAAAAATAAATATCTAAATAATAGATATGAAAACAAAAAATTATTAAATTAATATAATGAAGTAATTGAAATCTAATATTTAGAAAGAAAATATTATGAAATAGACTTTCACAACTGAATTGGAGAAAGTGAAATGCTAAAAAGAGTAATTAGAAAAAGTAAAGATTCAAGAGGAATGTTAAAGATAATAAAAAGATAAAAAGTTGAAAGTCATCAATGATCTATAATAAATGATAAAAGGACATAAAATGGCATTTGACAAATGAAAATTAAATTAATTATTCGAATTAAAAAATAAAATCTTTTTAGATACATGATATTTCAAGGTTTATGTAACCCTTTTTTGCAACCTGGATTGCAATCTCTGCACTAATTACAGCATGTAAAATATTCATCTCCTCCACAAGTTCTACAAGAAAAATACTTGAGTTTCCCGGGATGAAATATACAAGTCTAATTTAAAATTTATATACCTCTTCATTAGTGCCTTCTTTTAATGTCAGATTACAGCGTATACAATTCCAAAAAGCACCTGATTATCTTAGAAGCTTTGTTTCTTCTTCTATTTCTAATAATTGTGCTTAAAGTTTGATAATTGATGTTTCATCATTCTAAATAGTTTTTAATAAATCTTCTCCTAATTATTTTTTATGTAAAGAGAAATTCTAGATTTCCTTATACGCAGGATTAGTAGATATATCAATTTCAAAGGAATGATCTTTACCACTAATTATGTCAATTAATAATGCTAGCTATTTTAAAAGAGCAGTCTTTTCTTTTAAATAAAATTCCCATTCATCATTATCTCTTCTCAAAAGTCTTTCTTCTCTTTCAAAAGTTTATATTTTTTAATTAACTTAATGCATTTTATCAGAAACAATAGAAAACATTTTTTTTAATTCTTATTATTCAAACTAAGTTATCTCTATTCATTAGATAAATAAATACCTAAAGTCTATTGGCATTTTTAGATTATCTTATTTATAGGTAATATTTCTTCCCTTTAATCTTTCTATTTATGTTTAGTTTTTTCCTGCTTCATTAAATTTTGTATATTTGTATATGATAAATAATTTATATTTATATTAAATACATATATAAAATGAAATCTTCTGATCATTAGTAACAAAATTCAGTTGGTTGGCTTTTAAATTTAGTTGGAAAATTTTCTCCAAAAGATTTGGAAAAATCAAATCTTAAAGAAATAGGAGAAGAATACATGAAAAAAATTTTACTATATCCTTAACTTTAATCAGGAAATGTTTTTACATACAACTAATAAAAATAAGAATTCTCAGAAAAACTATTTCATATATATCCTAATATCTTAATATGTTAGCATGATAAAATACATTCTCATTTAATATTGAGTAATTGCAGTATTTAAAAAGAGTTAATCTAATATAAAGAGGCTAAAACTTATGGATTAATAATTTCTAATAATTTAGGAAACACCTATTTATTCTTTTCCTAATTTATTCAGTATCGAAATTGGTATAAATTAATGAAATAATATTGTAAATTAAGTGATTTTTTTGGAAAATATAAATTAACTGACAGAATGTTGCCTGGAATTTATTAATGTTATAAAAAATCTGTAATAATTTGTATATCAATTTAGAATAATGCTTAATTTACAGTATAAATTTATAAAATGGAAGATTTTGAATAATGGCCTGAGATTGAAGAGGTTGTTCATAATGAAATATAAATGTTACGATCTATTAAGCATTAAAATTTATTATAGTTAAGAAGAGTATACGAAGATGATTCATACTTATTTATACTTTATGAACATTTTAAAGGAGAGTCACTTTATAATTTAATACTAACAAATCCTTTACATGAAGTTTAAATTGCTTCAGTACTTATTATCTTTATTAATTTAGATAGTATATTAGATTTTACAACTTTTAAAATTTTTAGATAAACACTAGTTTTATCATGGAAATTTAAATCCTTTAAACATAATTATTAATTCTAATAATTAACTTCTATAAATATTTTTAATTAATTTATCTTTTAAGGTATCAAAAATATTTATTAATAGTAATATAGGATAAATGATAAATTAGATTGGATTTTAAATAGATAAATTGAAGGATTCATAGCACCAGAATTTTATAATGGTGTACCACCAAATATTACTTCTGATTTATATAGTTTAGGTGTTTTGCTCTATTTTATGACATTTCCTACTTAATTACCAAGTGAAAAGCATTTTGATAAATATGAAATCGATTCAACCAAAATTTAGAAATTATTATAGAAAAAATTGTCTTAAATTCCTAATGAAGGAAGTTCTCCACTTGATAAATCGGTAGAAAAAAACATTAGTTTGAGTGAATTAGATTTATTATCTAAATTATTGGAATCAAATCCTAGTATTTATTTCTAAAAAAATAGAACAAAGAATTATAATTTCTGATGGCATGAAACATCATTGGTTTGTGAATATTAAGAGTAAAATTAAATAGTTGAATGTTATTAAAAAGAAAAAGGTAGAGCTACCTTCATTAAGAACAATAATAGAACTAAGATCTTAAAGTGAATTAGATCTTAAGGTTTAATCATAATTGTCAAATAATAGACGACAATCTAGATTGGCATAAAATTAAGTAGATGATTTTGATGTAGGTAATCTTTTAAAATATTAAAGTTAGTTCCTGATGAAGGACATCCTTTAAAGTAAGTTGCTGATCTGGATTTTTGTTAATTATTAAGAAGCAGTACTTAATTAAGAAAATTATAAACTCTAAGCAATAAATCTATTGGATGATTAATTGTAATTTATGATTCATAAAAATATATATAAGATCTCAATTTTTTATAATTAAGATGCGTTCATGATATTGCTGTCCTAAAAACAAAAAATTAAACCATAACAGGTTAGGTCTAAATATGTAAGAATTATTTCTACTTTTTTAAAAAAAATTATTAAAAAATCCAAAATATGCAAACAAGAATAAGGATCTTCAAATCTACAAATAAATGTAATAAAATGATATCAATTAACTTATTTTACAAATTTCCAGCAAAGAAGTAATAAGAAATTGAAGTTAAAGAACTAATTATCTTGTATGTTAGATTTAGTACTAATTTAAATTTGAGTAAATTTTGTCTAAATTTTTAAATTAATCTCTATATTTAGTGTAATAATATTAATTGAAATGAATTCAATCATACTAAAGAATAAGATACTCAAACAATTTTGGTGCTATTTTACACACATATAAATATAATATAATATTATATTTATAGAATTATGTACATTCATAATATGTAAATAATTTCACCAAAGTATTAATCAATGTTTCTTTTAGTCTGATAAATAGGAATTTGATTGGAAGTTTAATTGTTATAAATTAATTAATAAGTATCAATCATTTACCAATTATTCTTCATCCTCTGCATAATCTAGTTCAAGACAATGCAAATGTTTTGAAGAAAAATGGGAAGTTTCTTTATTTTCACTAATAGATATACTGTTAATAATCTCTTCCAAATTCTTTAAAGTAATGGGCTTAATATATACTTCTTTCATTCCTGCATCCATCAAATTGATTAAATCATCTTCTGCAGAGAATCCAGTCAATCCAAAAATAGGTATTTAGAATTTTGGTTATTCTTTAAATAAAAATGAAAGTTATTTTGTTGCTTCTTAACCATTCATAATTGGCATTTGATAATCCATAATAATAGCTTTATATCCTGAACATTTGTGATCTTCAAATTAAGAAATGCTATTCTCAATTAAATTTAAACATTATTATCCATTATTAGTTTTAATAGAGATATAACCTAATTATCTTAATAAAGATTCCAAAACAAGTAAATTATATGGTTCATCATCAACAATTACTATTTTTTAATTACAATTACACACTATTTATTAAACTAACATTCGGCTTCCACTATTATTTCTAAGAAGACTTGATATATTTGCTCCAGAATATTATTAATTACTCCCCTTTTTAGTATATGTAAAGTTGCTATTTAAACTATTTATATTTTAAGAAGATTTTTTAACTTTTTAAAATATATTTGTTCTACTACTTATTTCTGGATCTGTCCAAACATTATATTTATGACTAAAACTATCAAATTCTCCAACTTCTCCTTCCATTTAAATTTAAGAACCTTCTTTATTATATAAATCGCTAGCCATAAATTCTGTCATTTATACTATTCTACATTTTAAATGAATACAAACTGTTGTTCCTTAATTTATTATTGAATCTATTGTTATATAATTTTCTTCCTCTTTTCCTCCTAAAAATTTAATTAAAGTATTTGAAGCTCTTAATCCTAACATTATTCCTGAAGCTGCATCAGAATTCTATTCTTCATAAAATTCTTCTTCATTTTTTAGTAAATTTTATATTGCTTCAAGCTTTTATTAATTTATTCCTATTCCATTATCCTTTATTTCTATTAAATAATAATCATAATTATTTGTATTTGTAACCTAATTATTATTTGAAAATTAACTATTAGGATTGATGTATTGCTTAAATTAAGTATTCTTTCTTAAAGGAAAATGAAATGAACTTTCATTTAAATCTAAAGAACTTCTATAAAGTTAAGAAGGATTTGATGGCTATATAAGCTTTTTTTCATATTCTTTTGAATTTTATAAATGCTTTTCTTAATTTTCTTTGCTTAAAGTAATGAAAATCTAACCATTTAATCTATTAAATTTCAAACTATTTGATATTATATGGACTAAAATACTTTAAAACTTTTCATAATCTAACATTTCATATTATGTTTAATTTATTAATTTAAAGAATACTATTTTAACTTCCTTTAAATCAGCTTCTTCTTAGAATAAATCTATAGTCTCTTAAACAACTTAAATTAATTTACATTTTTAAATTTTAGTTACTAATTTTTTATCTCTTATTAAATTATAATCTATTATTGAATTTATGATTAAATTCTATATTCTACAATTATTAAAGGCTGCTCTTATTAATTTATTTGTTTCTTTATCAAAAAATTAACTTTTATATTATATTACTTCTAAAAAACCTTATATCACATTTAATCTAGTTCTAAGTTCATGTGAAATAGATCGAATTACTTAACTTTTAAATCTATTAAGATTTTTGTAATATGAAGATTTAAAATTAGGTGAAATATCATAGAAATTTAATAAAATTGCATTCTTATTCAATCCATACTGTAATTTTGTCTTAATTCTGACCTCAATCATTACTGGATATTCTAATGTTTAATTACTTTCATATTAACATTATAATAAATAAATATTTCCATTTGGTTAATTTTCTGATTTACAAATAATATCTAGTGCTTAATTTAAATTTATTTAATTAAAATAATTTTATTCTTTTTATTCTTCAATTTTATAATGATTCTCCATATTAAATTAATCTTATAATTACAACTAATTTAGTTAAAGTGCTTCAAAAAACAAAATAATTTCATTTAAGGATTAAGATAGAAAAGATTCTTAAGATGATAAATTCTAATTTTAAAATACATTCAATGATTTAGTTCCTGTTAATCCACCATTATTTAATTAATGCATCATTTTTTTAGTAAAACTATTAGTAAATAAAACATCTTTGCAATTAGAATCTAATACACATACTGCACTTGGAATACTTTTTAAAGTTTGGTCAGCAAATAATGAAACTTTACTCAAACTAATTAATTATTAATCCCAAAAATACAATATCATTATTATAAAAATGATAATATTGATAGAATGCAATGATTTAAAATGAAATGTGATATTCCTGATAGCAAAATAAATATAAAATTTAAATAATAAAATAACTCTTAATTTAATAGTTCTCACTATTCCTAGAATCATCAACAAATTTATAAACATTTAACATATTATTAAAATTTTACCATCAGATTCATAATATAAGAAGATTTCTGTCAAATATAATTAAAAAGATGTCTCAATAAGTATGAAAGTTAAGTTGATCAATGTTAAACGATGTTACTCCTTTAAATGAGTAAGAATATTTCTGACTATATACACTAATAAAAGCACTCCAATATAACAAGTATATAAATAATAGGTAGTAAGTTATGCGTTGAAACTTTAGAAGTATAAAGAGTTGTAAATTATAATGTATACTAGTCCAATTATTGCATAAATTTTGACTAAATTGATAAACGCAGGCCATATCTTATCAAGAATCATTTGATTATGTTAAGCTATATATCTGTGATTTGTATAATCCACTTTAGTAATCAGGATGTACTCTTTTAATTTTTTTATTAACATATAAAAATTATTCACAAGACCGAGTTAGACTAATATCTAGACTAATTATATATCTTATATTTGAAGCTGAAGAAAACTCCTATATTGAAAGATGCCCTTAAAAAATAATGAATCCTCATTTTTAATAATATTTATATTCAATATGATTCATTATATTTTTGTGGGTTCTAAGATAAAAAAGCAATTTTTTAACTAATAATTAAATTAATATTAAATAAAATTTAGTTATTACAGAAATCAATTAATAAAAAATGAACTTCCTTATTTAAAATAATTATTATTACTAAAATGATCTAAAGATTTTATTAATAATAAATTAATTATTTATGAATACTTTACATATTCTTTATAAATATGCATTATTATTTTATTTCAAATAATACATAAATTAATTCAAACTTTTTGTTTCTATATTATTAATTAATAGTTACATTTTCCCTATCTGTGTCAAATTCTTAATTGTTTGTTTATTTTCTCCTTCTTCTAGTCATTTTTGATTATTTAGTTTTATGATCAGAATTACTGGCTTCATAACCTTCTTCATCTCCTTCTTCATTTTAAACATCTTTTTCCTTTTTACTTTTTTAATACTTAAAATATATTTGATATTAGATACTTTATTTTTATTTTATTCATCTTCTTCACTTTATTATGGAGTTCTCTCTTCATCGCCATCATAATTACAAATACTAGAAATATATTTAAAGTAACCTCTTTCTTTCTTTAGTTTAGGATTCACTTGAAAATTGTTACTTTATTAATTGTGTTTGATTTATCTAATAAATTAATTGATATAATCATACTTCATGAATGGTAGAGATTTCTATGAATTCTTATATTTAATCTAACCATTCATTACATGTTAAATTCTTGATATAGTGATTGTCTGATAAATCATTTAAAAAGTTTAAGTATTACTAATCAAGTATTTATTCTTAAAAGTAAGTTTTAAAGGAATCTTAAATTTTATTAATAAATTTAGAAGAATCCTGTTGTTCATTCAAACATAAAACGGTTTCATAATTCTTTCTAAGGTTAGTGACATATTATTAAGTTAATTTGGATGAACAAATTTATTCAGCATTCAATAAGGCAATAGGTCCATAAAGAATGATGTTTGCGAAGTAAGAAATTACATTACTTAAGTTTAATGGAAGTTTACTTAATAATTAATTGTTTTTGGATTAAGTAAGCTTCACATATTTAGTTGGGCAATGAATTTTCCTTCAATAATTACAAATATTAATCTTAAATCATTTTAATATAATTAATAATAAATAAATAATAATAAATCAATAAAATATCTTCATTCACTGCTTGAAGATAGATTAATTTAAATTAATAATTTAGTCATCCACAATTTAAAGCACTCTTGGAGTGGAATTTATTCTTTCCAATCATTTGTGATGGATTGTAGAGACTTTGATCTCTAAGAAAAAGAAGTTGGTTAATAAAAAATAGTTTAAGATTTGTAATCTTTTTTAATTTGTTCAATACTTCTGTTTTCATGAATAAACTAGCATCTAGCTCCATAAAAACAAACCTAATATAATAAAATAGATATAACATAATCTTAATGGAAAGATCTACATAACTTAGATTTATATTTTAGATTAGATTGTCGAGTATTCTTTTCATTTTCTCCATGAGCAAATTAACATTTATTACTGTAATTGCATTTTCCAAGAAGACTCCAATTTTTACACATTTCTGTTTTGAATTTAGTATTATTCTAAGATTCATCACTAGAAGAAGACATTTCTTCAATAGGATCATCATCTTAAACATAAAAGTCAGTGCTCATAGTAGTTAAGGTAGCTACAGTGCTTAGAGACCCTCTTTTATCTTGATCTGCTTATTCATTAAAGGAATATCTTTTGGCATTTTTTATACACTTTTATGTCCATGTTGGTTATTTAGGAACATAATTATTCAAATCACTATTTAGGGAACGCCTAAAATTATATAAATTATCTAATATTTAGAACCTTTCTGAATTTAACTTTTAACTTTTTGTTTGAAAAGAAGTTCTTTATTTATAAATTCTTTGTTTATTGACATCCTACATGAACAATCTGACTAAATTTACAAACAGAAAGGAAAATGTTTATATAAATAATATATAGATTTTATATTAAATTTTATATTAATGATTGTAAGAATTCATTTAAACACTATTAAAATGGCTTATGCTATTTCTAATAAATTAGCTGCTAATAAAATCAGCAAACTCTCTTCAAGACTTAAATAAAAATAAACTGTAGAAGATGTTCATAATTTATAAGATTTCTTAACTACTTAAATTTAAGAGAGTATATCTATTCATTATATTTTTAGATAAGCTTTATAATACAATACATAGAACTTCTAAATATGATGATGGTTTTGATGAATTTTTATAAGAATACAAAAAGAAGCATAAAGATATTTTAGATTTAACTCATTATGCAACATCTCCATTGAATAAAACCAATGAATTAAGAGAATAAGAATTTAGATAATTATAAGCATTTCTTGATAGAAGAAAGAAAGAATTAAGACATAATATTATAGCTAATGATGATAAATCTAAATAAGTAGTCTTAAGAAAGAGAGGAGAAGTAAAATACGGAAGAAATGTTAATAGATCAGGTTTTAAAATTAATGATTAATTCTTTACTATTCTAATAGATAGAGATACCAATACTTAAGTAACGACTTTATAAAGAATTAATTCATTTAGATAATTAATTTTTATTGGAAATGCAAATGGTGTTATAGGATTTGGGTATTATATTTATAATATTTAAATAAGAAAAGGGAAAGGTAAAGACTTTTAAACAGCCCTAACTAGAGCAAGAATAGATGCTAAAAGAAATTTAGTACCTATAAGTTTAGATTTATGGCATACTTGTCCAATTCCACTTACAGGAAGATTTAATGATGCTGAGATAGAAATAAATCCAAGACCATTAGGTTTCAATGCATATGGTAATCCTTAAATTGCATCAATGATTATGTTAACTGGAATTCATCATTGTAGTTTCAAAGTTAGATCTAGGAATTAAGTTCCTTATTCTTTACTTTATGCATTTATGTAAGCTGTTACAGGGTAATTACTTTCTCTTAGATATTCTTAGTAATACTTCGGCTGAAGAAGTAAGTGAAGCTTGTGGTATGAAAATCTATAGATAAAATTGGGGTAAAAAAATTGGAAGAACTACTCCATTAACATTTGATGGTATTTGAGTTACTTTCCTTTATAACATTTTTAATATATCTATTAGACCGAATACAAGTTTATAAAGAATTCACTTTAGCTTAATATTTAATTATTATTTTACTTATCATTAAGTCTCTAATTATAATTATCTTGTTGATCTTTCTTATACTAAAATTAAGAAACTCAATAATAATTTATAAATTGTATCTCTTTCATTAAATTCAATAGATTTCTAAATATTCATAAATCTATATATTTCTAATTAATATATAACTCCTATTGAAATCTTCTTTAATCTATTCAAGTATTTAGATATTTCAATTTATGCTTTACTACTAAATTGAGATTAGTTATTGAACATTTATGTTGAAATGAAAAAGATTACATAAAGATTTCTAAATCATAATTGGAATTTCACTTCATTAATTCAACGTATATATAACATAAATCATTACATCGATTTCTAAAAAGCTTGTAAAACTCTGTATGATCTTTATTCACCCATAGTTTTTGGCCTTTTTTATTAAATATCTCCATTAAATTAAATTGTCCAAGCAACTGGAGCATATTCTACATCAAGTTCTTTAATGGAATGAGCGTATTTACAATTTGCTCCCATTCTACATTATTTAGTTTTTATATATTGACGACAAATTCTAGTTTTAGGTATTTTTTATTTTTCCTTTAAAATCGTTGCAATATCTTTATTATGATTTTATTCTTATTTTTATTACTCATACTCTTTAAATTTGGATAATACCATAGATTTTCTTGGATTAAATGCAGTTACTTCTTCCAATTTTTTCTCAAATTATTACAAATATAAATTTTTATTGCTTATTGTTTATCTGCTTATGTTGAATTTCTTTGTTGCTGTTTTGTTCAAACTCTAAGTTCTATAGAAATCTGATATTTTTCCTAAGATATCTGAGACTTATTTTGTTTGTTTTACAGTGCTCATTGCTTTAATAAAATATAATGTTGAAATTAATCTTTAAATAACAAAAGAATTTTATACATATTTCAAGTAATTTGAAAAATACTTAGAAATATATTTAAATAAATGGATTGTGAATGGAAATATAATTTTTAAATTTGATGGAAAATATAAATTCTGAGACAACATTTATTTCAGTTATGAATAAAAGTATATAATTTAGAAATGGAAATTTAGTTATAGTTATAATATTGAGTAAGGATAAATAATAGAATCAATAAGTAAATGTAAGAATTTCATAATGAGTAGATAAAATTGTATATGTAATAATCTATATTTGATATTGTGATATTATGTAATCTTGAATGAATTATTATTAATATTGATGAAAGAATCTTTTGATTAGGCTCATTATGATATAAAGCAGGAGATATAACATTATGAGCATGACCTTGATCATTTTTGGACAGCACTAACTGGGTATATAACAAAATAAAATTCAGGGCTGTAGTTCTGATAATGCAGTTAGGATTTGCATTTCTAGAGGGAGGGTGTGTACGATACAGGAACATTTAAAGCATTATAATAAAAGTTTATGCGAACACTGCTATAAGCATAATTATGATGTGGATAGTAAGAATAAGCTCTAAATTAGGTTGGATATGGATTAATGATGGGTAAAACTAACGACACTTAATTTAATGGTATTAGTGGTTTCTCAGGTTTCAGATTTAAGGATCATCCTGAATCTTATGCTGATTTTATATTTAATTCAGCATTGGCAGCTGCAGCTAATAGTATTGTATCTGGTGGAGCTGCTGAAAGAATGTCAATACCTGGTTATATTGCTCTTAGTGCATTATTTTCTGGATTTATTTATCCTATTTGCATACATTGGGCATTTAGAGGTTGGTTATATGATATGGGTTATCATGATTTTGCAGGAAGTGGTGCAATTCATTTAACAGCTGGAATTGGAGCACTTGTTGTTACATATATGCTCAGACCTAGAACTAATCGGTTTGATCCTGAATTTGAATCATAATTTAAGCCAGCAAATACAACCTTTATTTGTTTATCTTGTCTGACTTTATATATGGCATGGATGTGCTTCAATTCTGGATCAACTTTGGCTTTATCTAATGGTTCTGTATTCACAGTTGGAAATTCAATAATAAATACTATGGTTGGTGGAGCAAGTGGGGGATTATTTGTATTCTTTTATCATTATTTTACAAATCGAAATACTGAAAATCGTTTTAGTTTAGTGATGGTTTGTAATGGTAATTTAGCAGGTCTAGTAGCAGTTACTGGGTAATAATTAATGTAATTAGATTAGATCTAATGATGAAATAGAATAATGGGCAGCATTTATTATTGGTATAGTAGGAGGAATAATATATATTTTAGTGGCTAAAATATTACATAAATTAGAAATAGATGATCCTGTAGATGCTATACCTATTCATGCTGGTTGTGGTTTAACAGGAGCCATGTTTCCAGGATGGTTTGATAGAAAAAGAGGAATATATTATGAATGGGGAGCATATTAATGGGGAGTTTAAGTACTTGGTTGTGTTTGTTTTATTGCTTGGTATTATTTTATGATTAATAATTATATTTAGGTCTGCTGCCTGGCATTATGTAGCTTGTAGAATATTAGAAAAACTTAATTTACTAAGAGTAGAAAAAACTTAAGATTAAGAAGGATTAGATCCAACTGTTTGTGGGGGACATGCCTTTTTTTATGAACCTGTAAGAGAATAAGATATGAAAGAATACTTTTCATTCTAAAGAGATATTTAATAATTTGATTAAGTAAAATTAAATGAAATCGAAAATGATGATAGAAACTTATCAATTATTAAATAAGCTGATAAATGAAAAATATTTTTATGAATTTTATATTCACAAATCTAATTTATATCTTTTTTCTTTTTTATTAACAACATATGTACTATTTTATATAAATGTGTAATCTGGTTAAAAAGCATTAAATTCTATTGTGTTATTTTTACCAAATGATCTTAACACCCAAAAATGATCACTATTATTTGTGATTACTGTTTCAAAGATATTTTCAAATGGTTTTCCAGGTAAATAAGTTTTAGCTTCATCAATGCAATTAACACTTCTTATTCCCATAGAACCATCACCAAAATATACAGTTCCCTTTTCAGATTTTGAGTTGTTTTTTAAAGGATAAGTTCTTTTATATTAATGAACATGATTTTCAAAAGCTCCCACAAATTCATACTTATCAAATAAAGGAACCCAATAATTCCTTGCTTATAGTAAATTATTCCAAGAATTCATAAAAGAATTATTCTAATAACAAGTAGGATAAATTGGAACATGATAATGAGCAAACTTACTCAATGTAGAATAGGATTGATCATCTAAAATTGAAAGCATCCATTCTAATTATGTTTCATTATGAGGATATAAATAGCCAGAATCTAAACCAAATAATAAAATATTTTGCATTTTTTAAATATTATATGTAACTCTATGTTTGATCGGTAGAATAGTATTATTAATAGATTTTCTTTAAGGAAAATATGTAAAATAAAGAGGTCCCATTTCATCAGATACTGTTATATTATATTTTGCATAATCATTAAATCCCACATCATGATTTCCAACTGAAAAGATAAATGGAATCAATCTAGAAACATGTTAATATTGAGACTCAAATGCTGTTAGTAATAAATCAAATGAATAATAACAATGTATATTACCATTATCATAAGCAATATCTCCACCTATCAATATTGCATCTGGATTAACTTTACTAATTTATTCTACTATTTTTAATCCATTTGTTTAATAACCCCAATCTCCTCCAAATAAAATAACTAAATCATCATCTGAATATTATTCTGCAATTGTTCTATACTTTGTCGAGTTTAAAACTTTATCCTAAGAGATTAAATCTATTTCATAAAGGGTATAAGATTTAAGTCCTGTTAAAAAACATGTGAACACATTTCGTTATCCTCTATCCTCAATAGAAGAAGGAAAAGGTATTTTATCACATTTTTAATTTATTTTATCATCTTTAAACTTAACTTCTGCATTCAATTCTTTAATATCACTTCCAGCATGTACATTGATAAATACTTCTTTTGATGTATCTTCTGATAATGTAGCATATATATGACATAAAATTCCCTTAGGACATACTTGATCTGGTAACCAATTAGATCTTGTCCATTCTGTTGAGAATTATAAATCTAACAATGTTTCTATTCCATATGCTTTATTATAAACACATAGACATCCTTTTTAAAAAGCTAATGGAAGAAAGATTGAGAAAAATAATACTGTAATTAATTCAAATGCTAAAACATACTTAAAATAAAGAGCTGCATTTCTAAATCTCTTTTTAAATTATTTATCTAATATTTAAAATTTTTAATTATATACTTTTCCAAAATTGAGAAGTTCTCCAAGTTTATATAAAAATCCCAAACATTCCTAATAAAAATATTAAAAATCCACATAACCAAGAATGAATCAGATTAAAAACTGAATAAGCTACCAAAGCCATAGCTAATGGTACTATTATAAACCAAAATAAAACAATATTGATTGATTCCACTATAATTGCTGAAATTGGTTTTTCTTAAATTCAATTATATATAATCTTACATTATTTTTTAACATCAAAAAATGAATCTGTAATATTTATTTATCCAACTTCTTTTTCCTTTTTCGGTTTTAGTAAAAAATGAACTATAACACTTAATATCACATTAACTACAAAAATTCCCAATGAAAAAAGCACAACTACCTAAATATAGATAATTTAAGTACTTTTGCTATTTCCATAGCAAATGAATGATCATATGTCATACCCTTTCCATCCCAAAGCAAATCAAAGAACGTCATATTTTTTTATTTAATATGTATTAATATAATATCTAAATTGTCCAAATTCAATAAATTCTTATATATGATAGAAATACATAAATCTAGTTTAACTCATAATTTGAGAATAATCTAAAGAAGATTATTAATATAAATATTACACTTTTTAATTTTTAAAAATAAGCATTCTGTACATTTAATTTTAAGAATTATTCATATATATAAAGCGCTGTTAAACTATTCTTACTCTCTATTATGTTTGATTGCTTTTTAATAGTAATAGAATACGAAAATATTTATTAATTTTTGGAAATAATTTTAAGGTTTATTAATAAAATTTTGATATTGAAATTTAGGATGGATGATAATTATTTCACAAATATGGATTCTAGTCGTGTCTTAAACTTTTTCGCATAAAGTTAGAATCTTAAATTTTTTCAAATCCAAAAAATAAATGAAGAAATAAATTGTTACAAAGAAGAAATATTTAGATATAGTAATATGGTAAACAATTTTGTTCATTAATTACGAATGTTAATCCCAGAAGATAATATTAAACTAAAAAATAAATCGATTAAACATAAATGGATTAAGTTATTTGTAGACCAGAATAGAATGACATATTGGATTCATCAAGATTATTGCACATATTTAATTTATCATAAAATTTCTCTTCCATAAATAAAGAAGGATCTCAATTAACAATATAATATTAGAGAAGCTTTTGAAGATATTGTTACCGAATATATTTTTGAAATAAATTAAAAGTTTTTTGAATTCATGTTATAAGTAAATCCATATTCTCAAGATACAATATAATTTAAATTCGATAATTTAGGATTCTATTAAATGATCGAGTATTTATATGATATAGACGATATTTTAACAGAAGAAGAATTATGTAAAATTTTATTTCATATAAAAAAAACAATGGATAACTTAATAGAAAATGAAAATTAAAAAGTAATTTAAATAATCTAAAAGTAATATAAAGATTTTCTGGAAAATACAGCAATAGATCCTTGCAGTTATCCTCAAGACTTTAGTTATAATGATTTTGGAGATGGTTTAGAAACAGTATAACTAATATCAAAATAAGATAATATACAAGCAATTGATGAAAGTTAGAACTTAGATATACTTGAAAATGGAATATATAGTTTCTAACATAAAAAGACAATAATTATCCTTGAAATTTTCAACAATTAAAAAAATGCTTATATAATCAATGAATTTGAATATTATCAAATAACTTCTAATATTATTGAAAAACTCTAAAAGTTTACAATAAATAGAATTAAAACAATAAAATTATCTATTAAGGAAGCTTATATTTTGATCAAAATGCTAAAGAAGAAAAAGTAGTTTGAAAAATATAAAAATTAAACTTTATAAATATATAAAAAAAGTGAATTTGAAGAAATTAATAGAGAATTAAGTAATTAAACAGAATAATTTTAATAAATTTAGTAAAAAATATTATAATTTGTTACTAAAATAACTCCTTAATCAAAAAACTACAAAGATATCTATTCGTTAAATTTTGTTGAATTACTAAAAAAACAAGTTAATTTTCAAATAATACCAAGTAAAGAATTTGATTATGATTTAAAAAAAATAGAATTTTAAGAATAAATTTTAGCAGAAGTTCTTGTAGATAAATAATAAAATACATTAGGTGTAGTTGTATATATAAATAAATAGTAAATATTAGTATTACTAAAAAATACATAAGACATTAAAAATCATGATAATAAATTAGATGAGGAAGAATTTCGAATTCATTGTTAAATGTCAAATAAATTTGAAAATTCTAAAAGAACTTTATTAATATAAACAAATGTTAAAGAAATTAAGCCAGGTGTTGCATAATTTTATGTTTCATTGTTGCTACATAAATAAGAAAATAATCTTTGTAAACATATAAAGGACTTTTTGGAATTAAAAAGTAATGTATGGATGGTACTTTTGAATTTATTAGTCTGAATAAATCTATAAAATATTTTATCGTTAAATAATGCATAATAACAATTCATTTTTCTAGAATGACATAAGTTAACAATAAATTGATTAAGCACTCTTGAGATTGAATGCATTACTTAAAGAAGAGCCACCAAAATTAGAAAAACAAAAGCTCAAAAAACCAATCTTAATTAATTAAGAAGATGAAACAAGTATAGTTTCATCATAACCTAACTATACTTAGTAAACTAAAATGACATCTGAATAAATCAATCATTTTGTTGATAGAATGAATGATAAATATAAACAGTAAATAGTATTTTAAAGTCATTCATAGAACTTAGAATAAAATTATTGAGCAGAGAAAAGATAAAATATATTCCCCTATTAAAGTGAATGAAAAAAGTTAATCAATTCTCAAATAAAAAATTCAAAATGGTGAATATTAATCATTATATGAAAGAGCTAAAATCAGATAAATTGAAAAACAGGAAAAAATCAAAGAAAATGAAAAACTTAAAGCTTTAGAAGAAATGATGAGTATTAAAACTAAATATTGTGAATCAAAATCTGTTGATCATTTTTTACAGAAAATGGATTATTGGATGGAGAAAAAAACATAAAATATATAGAATTAATAATAAGAAAAAATAGAAAGAGAATTAGAAGGAGTTACATTTAAACCTAACCTTAATCCATTATCTACAAAGATGGCTAAATAATAGAATAAAGATGCCGATATATTAGAACGTTTTTAAAAATCAAATCAAAATAAATAGATGAATGAATAAAGATTATTAAAGGATGAATTAAAAAAAACTCCATTCACTCCTAAATTAAATAAGAATTCAGTTTTGATTAATAAAAAAGTTTAAAAATAATAACAGTTTAAAAATCATAACTATTTTAAAAACTAATAACCATTAAAATAATCAAATGATTCAAGTTTTAGGAACTTTAATAGTATTAATCAAAAACAAACTAATCATTCAAAATAATCAAAATCATTTACTCCTGATAATAATCTTATTAAATATTCCACAGAAAAAATAAAAGATGATAATCAAAATAAGAAAAGATCCATTACACCATTAAAATAAAATAAAATCATTCCTAATGTATAAGAAGTAAAATATAATCCAAATCTGAAGTTTTTAATGACATTAGTTTAAAACGATATGAATTATTCATCCTTATTTTGATTTTATATTGACAATCTCTAATATATTACTATAAAAATAGAAATTTTTATTTATATAAAAATGATTTAATAATTGTAATTAATTTAAAATCATATCTTATTAAAATTAGAAAATTTTAGTTTCTTTATATATATTATATCTAATCAAAAATGAAATTAAAATAAACTTTTAAACAGAACTATCATAAAATTTTAAATACTAATTAAATAAACATCATTTTATGATAATGTAACAAAATCCATCTGGATTGACAAATGTTGACACTAATAATCTAATTGGAAAATCCAAATTTACTTATAAACCTAGGACATGAATATTTAATTCATTATATTTCAAACTCTATTTTTATTAATAAATATTTACATCCTCAAAAATTGGTTATAAGATATTTATCAAAGTTTCTTTTACATCTTTCAAAATATGGGATCTTTAAATTATATTACCATCAATACATATTCTAATTGGAATGCTTATTTATGATTCTTTTTTTAAACTACTTTAATCCCAAATTTTATCAAAAAATTCATAAAATTAAGGTCTATAATTATGATCAGAATAGTTTTAAAACATTTTATATTATTATTCTATAGTGAGTGTTTAGAATATTTATTTTTCCCATTTATGTCCATATCTAATCATACAGGCTTGTTTAAGATTCCAAAAATATCTATTTTTTATATCCATTTAAATGTTATCTGAAATAGGTAAAACATTATCTGGTCTTTTTTTTAAATGAACAATAATTTCTACATCTTCATTAATTTTATCAATTTGAACAAAAAAAGGAAGATGCCATTAAATTGTTTAGTCATTATATGATAACCATATAGAAGATTTCATTTTATTTGAGAATCTTATAAAATGGTTATAAATTGATTCAAAGTAGAATCCAGGATATTTATTTGAATAAACAATGCAAACATATGGAATACATTTAGCATCTTCATCAACTTCCTATAAGATAAATTTTCCAAGAAAAGACTATTCGTTTATTTATTTACGAATATCTTCTAAACTTATATCTACATTGGGCTATATTTCCATACTCTTAAAATAAAATTAATATATATTTACAATATTTTAAAATTATATATAAAATAAATCATCATATTTATTTAAAAAAAAAGAAAATTTTTCAATAATTAAGAAAATAGTAATTAAAACTAAAGAAAATGACATGATTTTTAGAATTTCAAGAGACTCATTTTTGTTGCTTAATTTTAATGAATAATTTACATAGAGTATTGTATTTCATAAATTATAAGTTCACAAATATAAATAAATATATTGAATAATATATATAAGAAAGAGTTTTGTTAAATTTGTTGATCATTTTGAATATAGTATAATAAAAATTTGTATTCTATTGTTTATCAAAATTGGGCAAGAAATTAAATCTTTTTTTAAAATATAAAAAAAATGGTTAAAAATTCAGCACAAGACCCATAAGATAATTCACTATAAATGAAAGTAATAGATAAAAGTGCTATAGAATTAGATTAGATAATATTTGGTTTCTGGTAGAAGACTTCCATCAAAAGAAGATCCAAATCCAAAAGTGATAAGTATGAGAATCTTTGCAAGAAATACAGTGGCTGCAAAAAGCAGATTCTGGTATAGCATTAATTAATGGTTAGGTGGAATTTAAGAAGATTGAATAAACTTAGACCATCACATGGATAAATCTTAGCAGTATAAGAATTGTTTGAAAGAAGAGACACAAATGTTAAGACATATGGAATTGTTCTTAAATATTAATCAAGAACAACAATTCATAATATGTATAAAGAATTTAGAGATACAACATTAAATGGCGCAGTCTCTTAATTATGTAATAATATTTGCTAAAGAATATATTAGATTAAGAAATGGCTGGAAATCATAGAGCTTAACCATAAACAATTCATATTCTCAGAACATCAGTTTTAACAAAGAGTGCTGATATTAAGAGAGGAAAGACTAATTAATACAGAGTATTTTTGATAATTTAGTTTTAGGGTGATTCAATTAAATTCCCAATTGTCAAAACAGTTCCAAGAGCTAGTCATAAAAAATTCAGAACAGTGTTCAAAGCTAAAAGACCAAACCTCTATAGATCATGAACATGTTATTTTAGTACAATAATCATAATATAATAATAATTAATATAAAAATAATAATTAGATAATTAATAGGTAATTATCTGATTATTTGATTTCTTAAAAATTATTTTAAATATTATATTATAAAGAATATATTATCTATATTTTCTTATAATTATTAGATAATGAAGGTTTAAATAATATTATTTTATTATAACATATTATCATTATTTATTAATCAATTTTTTGAAATTAGGTAATTATTAGACAGGTTCATGAGTTTGTATTTAAATTGATAAAGATCCTGCATGAGAAGGAATCTTCATTAAATTTAAATAATTTAAAGCTTGTTTAGCACTTATTCTTTTTTATGGATCTTCTTCTAACATTTGTGCAACAAGATTTTAATAATCAGATTGTTTTATTTTAGAAAGTATTTAATTATTTTTAATAAATTTTTTGTTATTTTCCATAATTTCTTTTTAAGTATTGCCTGTAATTAATTTTAGTCCAGTCAACCTAAACATCTTAATAAAAACTTACATTTAATAAAGTATAGCTCCACATGCAAAGATATCAACTTTTTCAGATATTTTTTAAGAGTAATCAAATATTTCTGGAGCCATAAATCCAGGTGTTCCAAATTTCATATTTTTTTCTGATTCTAAGATCTCTAACTTTTATGTAATTCCAAAATCAATAATTTTTAATTAAGAAAATAATCCTAAATCATTGAACAATATATTATCTGGTTTAATATCTCTATGCACATATCCATTAATATGTAAATAATTTATTCCTTCCAAAATTTACTAAGGTTATTAATAGTGATTTTACTTCCATAATAACATCAATTTCACAGTTATTCAGTTTACAATATTTAAGACATTAATTAAGTGAACCGCCTTTTAAATATTATAATACTATCTAATAATGGTAATCTGATTCATAGACTTCTATAAGCTTAACTATATTTTTATGAGACAGTTATTTCAATATTTCAACTTCATTTTGAAAAAACTATGATAATATGACAATATACTAATTAGGAATATTTTTTCTGTTTTTTCATTTCTTTACACGCAAAAACATGCTAATTATCTTTTCTTTGGATCAATCGAATCTTATTAATAATTTTATGTAAATACAGAGCTTAATTGGTTGGCTTCTATTTTTTCAATAGTTGTAAAAAAAGGATCCATACTTTTATAAACCACTTTTCCATCCATATGTTCTTTAACTCTTAATAATACATTTTAATCAGCATAAAAGTATCTCCATTCTCCTTTCCATAATAATGCAAAAGCTTCTAATTTCTAATTTTCTTCACTCACTTTCCAATCAATTCTTGTTTGCAAATTCAATGGAATAACATACTTGATTTATTAAGTAGACTTAACTATTAACCAAAATATTACTTCCCCAATATCAATACTTTCTTGGTTAATAAAGATAGTATAGCTTTTATCAAACAATAAATGCTTTCTTATGCAATACATCAATTTGAATATTAATGAATTCAGAATACAAGATTCTATCCACTCTTAAATAGCAGGGGCATTAAAATCCAGTAAGATAATCATTATCAGTAGACTATTTTATAGATTGAAAACTGTTCATATCACAAAAAGAAAAGAAACAACTTTTTTTTAAATGTATTAAGATTGTAACAGATATTAAAATAATAGATGACTAAGAATGAAACACTTTGATTCGAACTTCTTAAGTGAGGAAAAATATAAGAGAATATGACATAAATTTAAGTTAAATTCTAAAAGGAAAGCTAAAATTAAAATTTTTCAAACTTCTTAAACATTTTATATTTTATATATTAAATATATTGAATATATCAACCTAATCGATATAATTATTAGATTGATGAAGATTAGAAGTATTTTAGGATTATTGTCAACGATATTAATTATTTTATATTTTTTTTATTAATTATTTTTTAATTACAAATTAAAATTATATCGATTTTCTTTTTTTAAAAAACCTTAAAAAATATCATATATAACTCAAGGAAGGTACTATCCTTTAATAAACTTACTCATAAATTCTTTTGACTCTTCTCTTTTTTCTAATGGTACCATATGTCCAGCATTTCTTACAGTTAATAATGTGAGACCATCTAAATCCATAACATATCCAGCATTTTGATCTGGATCATAAATTCTCTTACTTGGAACAAACCAAGGTCTCCAAGGTTTCAAAGTAGCCAAATCTAAGATATATAATTTAAATTATTACTAAATTCTTTTTATAATTTATCGACCCAATACATGGTACCTGTAATTGGTACAACAGCATCAACATCACCACTGAATTTTAAAATTCTTATTTAATTTTTGAGTAATTTTCCATATAAATAATATGAACCTCTGTCATCTACTTTATAATTATTCATATATTTTGAACAAATAGACCATGGAAGAGATTCTTTTTTAATATGAAGAAGCTAAAAAATATATATATAAAAATATTACATTTCTAACTTCATCTAATCTTAAATAATGATATAATCCTTATACATCAGCACATGGAGGTACATCAGAATCATCATTTGATTATCTCATTCCACCAAATTTTTAACTCATCTTACTACCTTCAGGTGTGTATGTATAACAAAAACCATAAATATTATAAGGATTGAATTTAATTTTATCTGAATTATTTCCTCTAACTTCAATTTCTACTTAATCTGCTATTTTAGTACAATTTGGAGTTTTCTTTCCATAACAATCTTACTAAACAGTCAATATCTATTCATATAATTCTTAACTAATAAAATTATGTCTTCCATAAAATTTATAAACATGGATTTAGAAAGGATCAGCTGCTTCTGTACATTCAGTAGGATCTGTACAACCATTACCTATTGCCAATCCTTATAAATTAATTCGATTATCAATTGACTATCCAGCATTATAATCAATAATTTTATCAGCTAAAGTTGGAATATAAATTCCAGCATATGATTCTCCTGAAATGAAGAATGGTAATTTTTTATATTCTTAAAATTTATTAAAAAAGTCCACCAATGCATTAATATTATATTAGGCTGTAGATTCATCTGATTATTAAAGTTCAGGACCAATTGAAAATCCTACTGTTATTGGAGATTCAATATAAAGCATATTAGTCTTTTAATATAAATTATAGATTTATTACAAAACTTGTCCAAGAATGATCGTTCATTTTGAATTCAGCTGTTCCTTCTATAAATACAAATGGACCATTCTCATTAAATGCTCCTTATAAAGATGAACATCCTGGGCCACCATTTAACCAAAGTGTTACAGGCTTATTTAATGGATCAACTTATGCTGGATAAAACATATAATGAAATTAAGCTTTTCCTTCAGCATCTGCTTTTAAATAACCAGAATAACTAAAACATCAATATAGAATATTACACTTATCCGTCATAATTTATCTTAAATAATCGATTCAACTCATTCTAATCTACCTTATCCTACTCCTCTACTTATACTTATAGAGCAAGACATATCGAAAGCAAACTCAAAAATATAACAAAATTCTTCATTCTTTAATTTTAATATTTTGTTCATAATGATGATTTCATTGCATAAGAAATAATAATTATTAATATATTTGTTATGGGAAATGGTACCATTTATTTTTTATTTCTAAAGATCCTTTAGCCTCCTGCACCAAAAAATCTAAGTCTTCTCTACCTTTTAGGGAATCTAATCTTACTTTTAGTAGACAGTTCAATCAAACTACCTGCTCAATCTTATAAGGAGATATATTTGTTAGTGGAATTAATATAGGTTTTATATTTATATAATATCATAGTTAATTGCTCATATGAACCTGCAGACTCCTTAATTCTTAAACAGTATTTTATTTTAAATGATATCTTAGAGATGAGAAAATTAAAAAAAAATATAGAGATGATATTCGAGCAAGTATATTTTATCTTCTAAATAGTGCATGTAGGAGATGTTATTTTAACAGAAAGATAGAATCTATTTCTCCTTCATGCTAAATTACCAATGTATTCAGAAATTAAAGATTTATAAAAAGTGTATTCAACTTATGAAAAATGGTATTGTATCTATATTATTGTTTCAAGTCTTCAAATTGCAGAAGTGAATCTACTATCTGAAATCACTTTTACTGAATAAAATGCCTTAAATTTTGCTATACCAAAATAGTATAATGCAGAATGTTTGATCAGATGTATCATTAATCATATTAGTTTAAATCCTTAAACCAACCTTAAATAAATTAATTTTCTAAGTAATGATTATAAAACAGTAAATTAAATCATATATTTTCTTAGATCAACATATATAAATTAGAATTAGATAATATCTTGGAAGAAATGAAAGTACCTAATTTAGCCGAGAAAAACAAAAAAACATTTTTTGAATTTTTAAATTCCACTAATTGTGAAGAAGCTCCCTATTTTCTAAGTACTGGTCTAACATCAAGTTTTGCTCATTTGACTGAAAAAAGTTCACAATGACATAAATTATTAATACTCTTATAAATTGTAATTAAATTAAAAGTTATTGAATTTAGTACTAATATTAATCATCAACAATTTTTCATTTTAGTTTTTCCATAAAATTTATAAAATGTTCATAAGTAAACTTATTTAATATTATATCATAAATACCCTCCATCTCAAACAATGTTTTTCAAATTCCTTATTTAAAGATAATTATTCAGTTTACATAAGTCTAACTAAACTTTTTTTACTGATATATTAACTTTTATTTGATAATATTTAGAATCCTTTTCTTAAATTTTCAATTGTTAGTACTCTACTCAAATTGATATTCATTACTAAAAAATCTTAAAATCCAACTTATTGATTAGATTCTATCAATTATTAATAATCAGATATCACATTTGAATCTTCAAACAATTCTTACATTAATTTACATAGATTTATTAAATTCAAACTGTTATCTTCAATTTTATCTAATATATCATAGAGTTTTTGCATTATTAAAAATTATTGAGGAACCATAGATTAAATCACATAAAAACTAAAGCATTTTTATAAATAATTAATTTTTTTATGAACATTTTATGGTATTAGTTTCATTCTATGTAGTTTAACAAATTCTTAATTTCCTAATTAAATAAATTTATTCTCCTAAATTTATTCAATTTTAATTCTTTATTAAGGAGCCAATTATAACATTGCCAATATTAAAGATCTCAAATTGATTCCAATTATATTTTATGGAAGTCTTAAATTAGACTTTATTGTCTCTAACCATATTTCATTATCTAAATCCTTATAATTAGCAATTTTCGAAACATTTAACTTTGAAATCATTTAGTAAATTATTAAACCTATTTACCATATATCTAATTCTGGTGATTTATACTTATCTATTGTATCAAAATTAGTGCTACTATTTTCTAATTTCTTTAATTGAAATATTCCACTTATATTTGTTAATTTCAAATAATGATACTTAGAATTCACAAAAAAATGAAATGATTGCATATCTAAATTGTTATGATATAACTATTTAGAATGTAAATGACCTACAACTGAAATAATTTAAGACGCAATAATTGAAATTTATTCTAAATTTAAATCTAAATGCTTATCAATATAAACTTATAAGCTCTCTAAAGAGCAATATTCAAAATATAACTTATCTTTTTACAATTATTCTTCATTTTCTATTTCTAAAATCTCAATTATATGAGGATGAGTCTAAACTTAAATAATTATTTACAAGTGCAGTTTTATTTAGTCGAATATTACTATATTGAATATTTTCTACACTTAAGTCAGAAGAACTAGTATAATAAATTCTTCCAGTAATTTTATTAACAAAGTATTTATAAATACAGTGTTCATCTTTATTCAATTCATCAGAAGGTATGAAATCACTTTCCTATAATTTATTCATTTCAGCATTTCTTTTACTTATTAGTAACGTTTAGTGTGATCTTATAGTTCTAGGCGATTATTTAAGTTTTTCTCTTTGCATTTGATAAGTTTCTAAAATCATCGTTAATTAGTGTTAAGCACTGTTTGGTTGAGTAAAATTTCCAAGTCTATTATTTCTTTAGAGGTGAGAATCAGGTGAATTATATTTCTATAGACTAATATTTTAAATTTTCTAATATATAGTTTCTTTATTTACATCATTCTAACTTTATTGTTTATTATTTTTAGAAGAATTAGGCTTCCCACTGCATAATCCCATTTCTTAAATAACTTTATTATAAAATGATTAAAAATAGGATTCTAAACATAAAAATAAATTATCTTCTTGGATTATTATTAAATGCTAAAATTTTTATTTAATCAACTTATTTTAGAATACTGGAAGCAAAAATAGAAAAATTAACTTCTTGTTTTTTATCATTTATATCAAGAAATTAATTCTTAATTTTATGTAAATTAAATAATCTATATTTAATAATAATTTCACTGTGAAATTAAATAGCGATAAGCAATTGCCCAAATTGTTTTGATATTTAGGATCATTCATAGCTTTTAATCCATAATATTATAAAACATTTATTATTAGATTCGAATGATCACCATTTTTATTGTATAAAATATATATTAATTATATATATTGAGATTAATAAAAAGTAAATTATAATTGATTGAATAAATATATATAAAATAATATATTCTAAAAATTAATTTCCAATCAGGTTTTTCTTATTATTATAATGGATAGAAATAATTTTTTCCAAATAAATTATGTAAAAAGATAAATTATTCAGTGATTTTTATATACTATCATTTAATAAGTATGAAATGAATTTAAGACTTATCTTAATTAACTTATATGAAACATCATTGTAAATTATTGGCATTTAGTGTAAAATATATTTTAGATACAAGAATTTGATTAGTTTTAGAAAATAAATATTTTGAAAAAAGATGTTTCCTTATTGTTCCTATCGATTATTTTAACTAAATTATTGAATATTTATACATGCTTTCGGTAATTAAGTATAATTTAGTTCATCATAACAAAATAATTTTTAGAATCATTAAAAATGATAATGTTTGAAAATAATGCATAATATCAAATTCTAAAAATGTTAGATGAATTATTACCTTAGAAATAGTATTGAAAATTCACCTTTTATAAAACCCAATATTTCAAAAAAGAGAGGGGTTTAGAAATTTTGTGGAAACTAAGTACTTTAATGATATTGATTCAATGAATGAAATATCCTAATATACAAATTAAAACACTTACACATAAATAGAAATGGGATTGTTTGATCTAATAATTGTTTTTAATATATTATTATAATAAATATTGATTATAATTGAGATTCTATTAACAATTAAATTAAAATTTAATTCAAGTAACAGATAAATATTTAATTCTCAATTATTATATTTAGTAAGACAAATTCATTGATCTATATTAAGGTTTTCTTTTATAAGGAGGTACTTTAAAGTAAGGAGCCAAAGAATCATGTGACATTTAATCATAATCAATTAGACTAGTTTCATTAAATTCACATTCAGATTCATTTTCATTCCCATATATCATATTATCATACTCTGCTTGACATTTATTCAAAAACTTTTTGTATTATTGCCAACAATACTAAATTAAGCTCTCATCAATATCTTAATCTAAAGGTTCTACTTCATAAAGCATTTTATTAATTATATTTGGCGCAATATATCGATGTTATTTAGTTTAATGTATAACAGTATTGCTAGAATCTTTAGTTGAATAAAACTCTATATTTAGATTCTTTTTGCATTTTTAATCAAGTTTCATTGTCTTTTTAAGTTATTTCATATCACTTAAAATTTGTTAAATATTTTTGAAATCTGTGTTTTTCTAATGAATAATTCTACACTAATGTATGTTATATTTTTATTATGGTGGTTTAAGATTATTTTCTTTAATAGACATAATAAATAAAAATACTTTTATATGCTTCATCTTCAATAAGAAGACCATGTTTATTGCAATATCTCAAATAATCATATATGTCTGTAATTCCTAATGATTCAAGATGTTTGATAAACAAGAATTCATTCTGAATGCAACCTTAATAAATAGGATCTTAGATTAATTGTTCATAAAGGGATTAATGAAAAAGACAATTTTTTCGTTTTCTTAGATTCCTTTCAGTAAGTCCATCAAGCGGTTTGTTTTAGAATGAATCATCTTCTTGTTCTTACTGAGAATCAGTCAAATCTATTATATTACCGGGAAAATTATAATCAGTCTTAAAAAGCTGTTCCATTTATTTGTGTATTAAATATTAATTAATTGTATATTTTTTAAATTATAATTCACTTCTAGATTGGTAATTATTAATTAATGTGAACAGGTTTAATTGTAACAGAATTATTAATATTATTATTATTACTAGGTTAGGATAATCTCTCTGCTATCATTTCATTTCCAGCATTTTTTAAATTTTCTACAATGTCCTCTAAATTTGGTAATGGTTTCAAATCCTAAGTAATTAGATTTGTAATTTTCAATTCTTTTAAAAGATATTTAGATATTACTCTTACTGATTTCCAAGCATAGTCTTTTAGATTTTTACATCTTTCATTATCAGCAATTTTTCTACTTTGATCTAATTAATAAAACACTTCATTTAAATAATAATTTAATCCAGGTTCAATAGGATTAGTTTCTATTTTATAAGGTCTTCCTTAATCTTGTAGAATTTATTAAAAAGCATCTGTTTATTTATATTTTAGATCATCATATATTCTTCTTTAAATTTCTTATCTTTTTTTTTTAGCTTTTTCTGATGCTTTAATACTAAATTTTTCATATCCATCATCAAAACATTACTTTTCTGTCACCCAAAGTCGCTGAGATATAAGAATAGAATACCCATGTTCGTTCTGTATCAATTAAATGTTAAACTTTTTCTCCTAATTTATCTCCTAATTTATCTCCTAATTCATCTAATTATTTTTAAACTTCTATTTTCAAATTTTATATAAATTATTTCTAAAATATTAACAGGATTTAATACTTCTTGATTTTCAAGTTCAGCTACAAAAATAAACAATAAAACTTAATTTAAAAATAATTTTCTAAAATAAGGATCATTTAACTGATTTTTAAATAAAGAATATTTAGTTAAGAATTTAGGAAACCTTTTAACTGTAATGATTTCAGGTTCTATAGGATTTTCTTTGAAATATTGTAAAGCCCTCATTATTACTTTTATTACAGCTTAAAGATTTTTAGTTCTTTATGGTTCAGATACTCCTTATAAAACTTAACCAGCTTCATCTCCTATATCATCTAATTCTATTTTGCTTCTAAATATTAATTCAGAATTATTTAAATATTTTTGTAAAGTCCAAAAATTTTTATAAAAAGAATATGGCAAAGAAGCATTTACTTTTACAGATTCTTCATCAAATCCTCTATCTCTTATATTAATAGGTTTCTTTCTTAAAGATGGATGTATTGTTGAAAATATTTAAGTCAAAAATATTTAAACTTATCCTCTTAAAAAAGTGTCTTATGTTGTTGATAGTCTTTTTAACATAGAATTACATATTCTCAGTAAAACATATTTATTTTCATCTTAGAATTTTGAAATTGTAGATATCTAACTATTTAAATTGTTAAAGTAATCCTAAAGTTCCTAAAGTGATAAACATTCATAGATATCTTCACTAAATGCTTAAATTAACTATAGATTTTACTAAGTGGATACGATTTAAGCTCTGGTACTTCTTTACATATCGTATATGATAATTCAGCCAAAAAAATATTTACTTTTAGAAGCTCTAAAAGATCTTCATCCAAAACTTTTTTAATAGTCTATCTCTAAAAATTGATCTAATCTATTACTAATTTTTGATGCAAATAGTCTCTACAATTTTTAAGGAAAGTTTAATAAAATGGTTATAATTAATCTGCAGATTCTTCCTCATGTAACTTTTATAGTTTTTATTTTATAATATCTGTGTGTCTCACTTTAAAATTTAAAATGTACGACTATGAAATATTCAAAAAATACTTCAATTTCCATTTGTTAAAATTCAGTCATGTTTAAAATGTTTTATTTAAATAAAATAATTTATATTTTTATTATTATTCATCTACGACCAAAATGACCATCCCCAGAATAGCCAAACTCTTCTTATTATGCTAATATTTTCTTATTTTTTGAATTAGGATTTTCATCACTTGTTTATCTCTTATTCCATTCAGCTAAAGCTTTATGTCTAGTAACAGGATTTTCTCTATCATAATCAGTATCAAAACCTGCACTTCCTTCAGCATATGGTTTTATCTAAATAAGAAAAATGATACTTCTTCATTATTCTCTACAGGAAATAGATATTCAGATATATCCTCCATTGGCAATTATTAATATAATATTGCCATAACGATAAGTAGGATATCAATTTTGCTAACTTCTTTGAAAAAAGTGTAAGTCATTGTCATTTCTCCAAAAGCACACCAGGCAATAATATATTCTAACATTTCAATCATTTCTAAAAATTACTAAATAGTACAATACCTGTAGAAAGTTGTATACTTATAGATTCTTTAACAGTTCTTCTTCTGAGAATGTTATAATAATCAACGAAATAGTATATAAGAATTCCAAATGCACTGAATAAAGTGCCTAAAGGTATTGCAGTACCATACAAAAATGTAAACCACATTGTTTTCATTACATCTGAATATCTTTTAGCAGAAAGATAGTCTGGTTCTTCCATTAATTTATTGGCTTCTTATTATGTTAATAATGCTCTGTCTCCTTTTGACATGATGTATTTTCTCCAAATATTCTTACATAAACTCCATGGATCTACACACCAAATAAAAGGAGGGAAAATTGCATTTAGCACGAATATTTAACTTTCATTCTATATAAAACCACCAGCTCCTTTCACATTTTTTAAAATAACTATATCAACCAAAAAACTAATTATTGCTGCATTCAAAAATAATGCTAATGCATATTTATAAACAAAAGAGATTTAAAATTTTGTTTTATTTGATATTTTTTCATCATCCACAATATAATGAACAATTTTAGCAACTCCAAATTTATTAAACAAAACTATAGTCATTGATATAGTAAATGATAAGATATTAATTTTTCTTTTAGTCTCTTCATCTAATTTTCCTTTCAATTCTTCTTCATGAGCTTCATCTCCTAACAAAGCTAATCTATGAGAAATTAAATATATTATGAAAAAGGCAGCACTTTCGAATAAAATGTAATATACCCAAGCTCTTACCCTTTTATATATTTTTTCACTAGTTGTTATATGAATAAATTCCCAATCTACATCATTTGGTTCAGGTGCTTATTCTAAAAACAATTTTTATCCATGCCATTATAAATCATTGTTTGTGAGACTTCTTAATTTTCCTCTATTTACATGTGATCTCATTCTTTCCCATTAAGTATGAGGATTATCTTATAGAACTAATTATTTCATGGATTCATCATCAAAAGATACAAAAGCAATTCCTGAAAAGTTAATATTATGAGTTTCATATTCTTCTTCAATCTAATGGATTTAATGTTCTATATGTTCGATATCTTTTTCAATCTTTTTTACATTTACATGATTGAAGTCAAAATTACATTATTTAATCGCATCTTTTTTTTATTATATTAATTAATCTAATTTCTTTTCTAATTCAATTATCTCTTCTATATCAAAAACTAAAACAACTTTTCTTACAATAATTTATTTAGTTGAATCTAAGACAGAATAATTTTCAAATAAATTTTTTAGTTCATATTTATAGTCTACATTTAAACCTGTTGGAATATTCTTTACACATATAGTGTAATCTGCAGGAGTTAATTATTCTTCATCAATTGTAGTATCAATTTACCTTTAACTTTTTCTAAAATAAATTAGCACAAACATTATTATGAAAATACTTATAAAATTTAAGAGCTACATCATTTCTAGAGCTTCTCGATTACTATTTTAAAAATATATTAATTACTCAAGTTTATTCGCCAAAGATAATCGTAAGAAAATACTATCTGGACAATATGGTTCTTCAATTATATGTCCTTCCATCTTTTCTCTTTTCACATGACTACAGTATGAACCATTAAAATTAGTGTATAAATTATGTAGTTATTTCACTAAGAGTTAAATAAAGAGGATAATAATGCAATATCTCAAGTAATTATAAAATAACGTAAAGCCTGATCCTAAGAAGGATAAAGCCATGGGATCTGAACAATAAGGAATATCCTCTCTGTCTACTTCGAATCCACAACAAGGACATGTATCAACTATATCATTCATTATCCAAATATACTTTATAATGTTTTTAGAGGGTCTTTCTTTTTTTCTTATGCAGTACGTCTTGACATTGCATGTTTTCTTGCTATCTCCCAATTACATGGCATTTGCAAAGGATTATAATGAGCTTCATGATGATCATCACCTGAATGATGATGAATCTCATTATGTCCATCCATATGATCATTATTAGAATGTTAGTGATGAGACTAATCATTATGCTAATGTTAATGTTGAGAAGGCTTTATTATAAGATTATATTTTTACATGTGATTGCTTTTACTTTTCAGCTTAAGATTGTTATTGTTACTAATTTAGTTTTTAAAACTTTTACTTTTGATTAATTATCTTAACTATGTATACCTTAGCCATGCTAATCAACATTTTTATTGATATGAGACTAATCCTAATTATTAGTTGATTAATTCATTGTTTTTTAGATTAATTTTATTGACAGATATACACAAATAAAAAAATCCTTCAAAATCAATCCTCTAAAGTACTCTTTCAATTATCTTTTAGTTGATTTAGAGAACTACCTCTTTCATAAAGTTATTCTTATCAAAAATCAATATTCCACTTTAAATAACAAGAAATGTTGTTTCTATATTTTCGAATTCTTTAAGCTTATGTATTTTATCTAAAAATATTATTTTTAATTTTATAATTTATAGGTAATCTTAATATCAAATTACATCAACCTTTTTTCTAATTTTTCAGCTTTAAATTTTGTATTTTTCTAGAATTAATATTTATTTGATTATTATAATCATAAGAAAAAATTTAATGAATGATTACCAATTTTTATTAATCTAATAGTATTTATCCTATTATAAATCCATTTAGTTATGGAAAAATAATTGAAAAAGGTTATTCTAAAAAATTTTATTTATTTGAGTTTTTAAATACTATTATAATTGATTGAATTATGATGAAAATATTGAATTCATTACTTGAATTAAAAATACTTTATCTTTTTTTATGTATTTAAGGATTTCAATTTTGTTAAATCTAAGTTTATTTCTCAAATAAATTTGGGGGATAATTACTATTAAATTTAATTAAATAATAATAATAATAATATTTATATCCATATATATGTAGTAAGAGTTCAAGTTGCCTTAAAAGATAATTTAATTGTATGCAAAGTATTAGAATAAATCGCAAAAAGTGAAAAAATTTTAACTTTAAGAACATACATTTATGTTAGAAGATAATTATTCACCAGTTGAAATTAGTAATAATAAATTAATTTTATAAAGTCGGAAGTGGTGCTTATGGATGTGTTATATAGGCTGATGATAAAAATGCAAAGGTAGAGAAAGATAGATAAGTTGCAATAAAGAAAATTGAAAGAGCATTTGAACATAGATTGTATGCTAAAAGAACACTTAGGGAATTAAAAATTCTAAGATTGATGAAACATGAAAATGTATAATAATGTAAGTGATTTAGATTGTTGAATTGAAAACATTACTTCTTCCAAAATCAAGAGAAGAATTCGAAGATGTTTATATGGTTACTGAATTATTAGAAACAGATCTAGCTTAAGTAATAAAAAGTGATTAAGTATTGACAGATGAACATATTTAATTATTCTTATATTAAATTTTAAGAGGATTAAAATATTTACACACAGCAGGAATATTACATAGAGATTTGGTATTATTATTTTATAATATTAATTAGAAACCAAGAAATTTATTATTAAATAGAAATTGTGATTTAAAAATATGTGATTTTGGATTAGGTAGAGCAATGGCAGATCCATCATCTTCAAATAATGCAAATATAATGACTTATTATGTTGAAACTAGATGGTATAGAGCACCAGAATTGCTAGTGAGTTTTAAGAATTATACTCCAGCAGTCGATATGTGGTCAGTTGGATGTATTTTAGCAGAATTATTATTAAGAAAACCATTCTTAAGAGGAGATTCAAGTATTTCTATAATAAAACTAATTAAGCAAAAAGATAAGTTAAATTAATATTTGAATTATTGGGAACACCAAATGAAGCTTATATTTAATCATTTTAAGATGAAAAAGTTTAAAATAATTTGAGAAAAGTTATAAAAGAAACAGGACCTAAATAAGGAATCCCATTAGAGTAGTTATTTAAAAATGCTTCTAAAAATGGTAATAATGTGCAATCATTACTGAAGCTTTGGATTTATTGAGAAAACTCTTAACATTTGATTATAGATAAAGAATTACAGTGTAACAAGCCTTAGAACATCCTTATTTAGCTTAATTGCATTTTGAAGCAGATGAACCTAGTGCTTAACTTGTTAATCAATTAGAATTTGAATTTGAAAAATATGAAATGACCAGAGAATAAATTAAAGGTATATTTTATAAATTATTATGAATAGATCTACTTTATGAAGAAATATTGTTATATCATTTTCAGGAATTTTAAACATCATATGAAGCAAAAAAAAAGGCTGGATAAAGTTTGATATCTCATGTAGTAAATAATGAAAATGCAAAAATTGTAAACATATTATATAATTTAAGTTCGATCCCACAGCTGATGATGATTTAGATAGGGATTGAATATAATATTATGATATAATCATAATTATGTTATCTGTTTTTATCAATTAAATGAATAAACCAGTCTAGATTTCTTATTATTTTCATAAATATTACTATCTTTCTATATGTTTGTTTGGTTTTCTTTTCTTAATTCTTTATTGATAATCTTTTTTTTTCTAGTCTTATTTTATCAGAATCTATAGATATAATTAAAAAAATAGTCTTTTTAAATAGATAATTCTTATTTTGACATTTCTTGAACATCATCATTTTAATTGTATTTACTTTTGATTATTGAAAAATAGACTATCTGATATATAAATGTTAGTTAAGTACATTCTATTCTATTTCTTCTAGTCATATATTTCTTCACATTCATTTAGTTCGAATTCTAATAATTAATGATCATTTCATTCCCATCTTCAAAAAAATTATACATTATAAAACTATGAAGCTTCTCACATTTCTCTAAAATATTCATACATGTATGTCTGTTTTTTTTAATTATGTATAAAATCTTTATCCACAAAATTAGATAAGTTTTCCAGTTATTTTTTCAAATAATCTTTATTATTTATTTTAATGGAAGACTTTGTACCATCGTTGAATAGTTTAGTCAAGTATTCAACCCCTGTTTTGGTATCTGTAGCTGGAAAAAACACAGGTATGAATTATTAAAGAACAAATAGGGGAAAAAAAGGATGCCTAAGCAAAGCAATAAGTCAGAGTTAATAGTCCTGGGAGAGTACAAATTTAAAAAAATTATGACAGCAAGAGAAAATGATAACCTAAGAAATTTTACAATAAAATCTACCACCTAAAGAATACAGATTGAAAAATGGTCAATTATGGGTGCAAACTGTTTTATCCACACCTGCTACCAGAATTGAAGTTGTTCAATTATAATAAGAATTGGATAAAAGATTATTATCAAGAGGAGCCAGAGAAACTGGAATTTGTCCAATAAGAGAAGAATTATACGAATAATGCTTTGATGAATTGATTCGCTAAATTACAATTGATTGCAGTTAAAGAGGGTTACTATTAGTGAAGTATTAATTTAAATTTAGTTGTTTTGAGTACGAAATGAATTCCGTAATTAATTGAATTCATATAAAACTTTATATGAAAGTTCAATTGCATATGGTATGAGAAAAATGATTGATGCTGAATAAAAAAGGACAGATAAATCTAATAAAATTATGTTTATGGAAAGAGAATGTTAAGAGTTATAAAAAGCTGTTGAAGATTTGGAATAAAAAATTCAATATACAAAAAAAGTTGAAACTGAAAAATTATAAAAAGTAATTATTTTCTATGTCATAACAAATAGGAAGGTGAAAACCATAAAAATGAAATAGAGAAAATTAGAGCTTATAATAACTCTCTTAAAGATGAGTTAGGCAAATTATTAGAAGGCAGAAGATGACTAAGATATAATTATATATAATAAATCAATATATATATATGTGTAATATTATAAGATAATATCGAATTAACAAAATTCATTTCATAATTAAATATATCTATCTCATAATCTGAATAGATATATTTAAATTATTTAATGTATAATTTGAATTTAAGATGATATAAAAAAGTACTAACTTTTAAATAAATTCATAAAGTCTTAATAGTTATAAAATAAAAATTTGGTTTTTGAGACAGTTTTAAATTAAATATACTTTTAAAAATGAGATTATAATGAAAAAGTATCTTGATACAATTCATATTTGAATAGTTTTAATAAAAATTTTGAATAGGATATTATTAATTTTATTATATAAAAAAATTCTTTAAAAATGAATAATTATTAATAAAAAATATTGTAAAAATAAAATAAAATTTAATATATAAAATATATAATAATTAGAATTATAAAAATAAGGTTAACAATTTTTTAAAAGTTTTGAATATGATGTTTTGAAATAATAGATAATTAATATATCATCAAAGGAACTAAGGGCAAGGGATGTCCTAAGATTTTGGACCAGCAATGAAATTACTCATTGCATAGGTCTCTTGATCACTGAATTTTCGTGATTTCTTTCTGTTTTTAGTCTAAGAGATCACTTATATCAGGTCACCATTTAGGACAACCTATAACTCACCACATGGTTCTTTTCCTTTTGGGCAGTAGTAAACAGGACTTAAATTTTCTAAACGTTGACTGCTATCAGTCGAACAGTTAGAATCTATATTTAATTCTTCAATGTTTGTAAGTGGATTCTAAAATGATTAAGAATAGAATTACCTTATATTTCGAAGGTGGAGTTATATAGTATGATTGTCGTTCCTAATTTTTTGGAACAAAGAGACACTTAG